AAGACTTCATGATACCAAAAGCAGTTATTCTGCAGACATTTTTATCCAACATAAAAATACAGATTTGAACTATAATAATCAGTCTACACAGGTTTTACAACTTTACTTGTGAAGACATCATGCCAAACAAACAATATGCACAGAAGAATATTCCTACATGGCATAACGTTGCTTGTTTGTAGGTCGCTGGTTACATACTGTATGACAGAAGCAAGAAACAAGTCCAGTAAGAAACAGCAGCCGTGAGGAGCTCGTCACCTCCTGAAGTCTGAAGTCTCTCCAGTTCTGAGTAAAGGTGTAGGTTCTCCAGTCTAAGTTCAGTTATTTTTCTAAAACAACAGTCATGCTAAAAGTTATCTGATGGACCTGGAAAATATGAACATGTATTAATAAAACTCACTGTTGAAGTATTATTGAACTGTATGAGATGAAAGTAAACACACCTGGAAGTTCTGGTTCTGAGAAGTGGTTCTTTCCAAAAGGCCGAGGCTCAGTGCTTTCTCTCAGTCTCCCACTTTTCCGCCCTCGGGCATCTTGCCTTCAGTTGTTCTGCATTATGCTTCCCCTTTGTCATAAATCGATTCATCCGGTGTGACTATGTTGTTTTTGGATGGATCACACAAGCATGCACTCAAAGTTCATCATCACATGTTCAGAGGCATTTCGTCAGGGGATTCATGAATGAATTAAGACATTATAGAGAAAAAATCTTACCAGCAACATTTATTTACTACATTATTTGTAATGTATACACAAAATGCCCATACCAGTGACGGAGTGTTGGTAGCAGACGCGGTCATGGTTTGTTGTTTTCCGCTGCTGCTTATACCTAAGTCCTGAAATCCAAAGTTTTTTCTTGATTCAGGATTTTTAGGAACACGGTAGAGGCTATGGGATATCAATGTTTGTTTTAGTAGTTCCATACTGATGAGGGAGGCTCTAAAAACGGTGATGATCAAAGACATTTAAGGACATTTATTAACATTTCTCATCCTGCTCCTTATGGACCAATGGCTCCTATGTGTTTGGAGAACAGTTTGATTTTCTGATCTAAACGATGATGGTTATAGTGGACGCCATCGTGGATTTTGAGCTATAGCTATTAGGCCCTGTTTATACTGAGACGCTGCGCAGACGTTTCCAGGTAGGGCTGGGCGGTATAAACGGTATAAGCGGTAGACGGTATAAATTTGGCCCACGGTAGAGATTTTTGTTATACCGGCATATTGCGATACGTCATTATGTCATTAAATTGCGCAGGCTCTGACGCCAGCAGAGAGCACCAAAACAAACCGGCATTCAGCAGCATTAGCCTAGCACTATTAGCCTAGCACTATTAGCCTAGCACATTAGCCTAGCACTATTGGACACCACTGGAAACAACGAACAACAGCACGGCATTAACACCGTGTTTCTGTCTCTGTATTGTTGTCACAGCGGCCCCAGCAGAGGTAAATACACACACAGTAATCACAGTTTAAGAGTCTACCTTTTGGCCAATCGGTGTCAAAGGGGCGTAAGCTCGAAGCGCCAGCGTGAGCCAAAATAGATCCATGTGCCGTGTCCGCAGCAGCATCACATCAGAAGTTTGGGAAAGTTTGCGTCAGATTCGGACCTCCGCGGTCAATATCTCACGAAAGCTACTTTGTTAAACAAAATTATTTGTGCCAAAATGATCATTTACATCAATTGTTCAAATCCAATGCGCTGTTTTAATGAACATAAAATCCATTGAATCATCCAGCGCAGAGAAAAGCGCTTAGGGAGCGTCAACAAATGGCAAGACCAGCTTTGTAAACAAACAGCTTTTACTGAAGTCATGCACCTGCACAAAACTCTCAGACACTATAAATAATGACCATGTCTAACTCGTACAGACTTTGTTTTCATCATTTGTGAGTTTTTTATATTTTAAATGAATGCATATGTTTTTCTTTTTAAAAATTGCTTTTACAGTGAATGGTATTTACTGTAACATACATAAATAATGTATGTTATTTGTCTCTTTATTCGTCTCACAACTGATTTTCTAACTCAAAAAATATATATTAGATTCTAATATATAAATAATTAACAATCTTGACTATTTTATGCAAGAACCTGCTAGACCTATATTGAAATTCACACACCAAATTATACCGCGATATATACCGTCTACCGTCTATGACCCAAATTATACCGCGATATGAATTTTAGGCCATATCGCCCACCCCTATTTCCAGGCTATTAACAGAAACGACCAGGCTCCTAATGCAAATGTCTCAGCGTTTGCATGAGGTTGAAAAACGATGTAGTTCTAGCGCCCGGCCAGTAGTGGGCAGAGAAACTATACAACACTCTCACGACCCCCAGCCCCGTGCCCAGCCCCCCTCTCGGCAGTGTACTCACTTCCTGCCAGACCCTCAGAACGCACCAACATCATTCTGCCTTTTAACAGCAGCTGTGAAAATGAAAACTGAACCTAGAGCTTCGCGTGGTCTTGTTTGGACGAACGAAGGTGTAGAAATTTCCTCTGTGCAGCGCTGAAAGCCCACAAAGCTAGTTAGTGTGACCGCCGCCATTGGTGTTTATGTTTGTTCTCCGCTACTGCGCATGTCCAAATTTACGTGTGGGGAGCAGCACGGAGGCGGGGGTCAGAGCAGAGGGGGATTTCACACCTTTTTCCCTCTCGCGGGTGTGAAAGAGCTCCCCGCTGTGCAGCGTATCTGAGGCTGAGCTTACACAGAGACAATGTGGCAGTAAAACGGTATAGTTGGATGTCGGTTTCTACCAACCGTTCATACGAAGACTGTGTTTCAGGGGGGTGAAAACTTAAGTGTTCAGATCCAGCCTGCAAAGTGGGACAACTTTTAAACTTGATCATGACTCCCCCTTGTACAAATATGAACCGTGTCCTGCTGTATGTCCATCACTCTCTCTCCCTCTGTTTTCACTCCTCTCTCGCTGCTTGTAGCTCAGGTTGGCGCCACATTTTTACTGCTAGTTCGTGTACTACGGTGTATTATGGATGGTAAAGGCTGACAATATTAACAAATGAAATTTTCTTAATTCTTTCATAAATAATTTTAACTGTCTGCCCTGGTATTATTCAATCTCTCTGTGAAATCACCTCTACAATGTGGACAAAGGAATTGGGAAAATAAAAACTGTTGGAATATATAAATGTTGACTGTGTGGTTAATACACCATTGATTATCAGTGTGTGACAGTAGCTCAGTTGGTAGAGCATTGGCCCCTGAGCCAGACGGTCGTGAGTTCGAGCCTGACTTTCACCATCGACTCCCACTGTCTGCTGTCGTTGTGTCACTTGACCTTTGGGAACACCAGCCACAGTGGGGTGGCTGCGGCTGTAAAGGGCCAGACTGTTTTTGTGTCATCCTTAGGCAAGACACTTTACCCCTATTGCCTAGAATGAGTCTGGTGTGTGTGTGTGTGAATGGTTGGTGGTGGTCGGAGGGGCTGATGGCACATACTGCCGTTGGGACCGTTGCCTCGCTTCTGTCAGTGTGCCTCAGGGCAGCTGCGGCTACAGTAGCAGTTTATCCCCACCGTGTATGGAGTGAAAGAATAATTACATGTTGAGTGTCCAAAAAAGCGCTATATAAAACCGAAGCATTTTTTGTTTCATTTTTTTGTTTTTTGTTTTCAGATATTTTTTATATTTGGTTCCCAGTTCAATTGAATGTATTTGTGTGCATACAACACCAGTCCTCTCGGAGGATTTCTGTTGTTGGCGAACAACTTTAGATCAGACAATCAAACTGTTCTTCATACACATAGGAGCTATATTGGTCCATAAGGAGCAGAATGAGAAATGTTAAAAATGTCCTTGAACATGAATGTCCTTAGAGACAGGATCAGTACGGCAGCATAGAGGCACCAGAGGCAGCATAGAAGCAGGGAAAGCCTCAGGTCCGAAGCAAAGTCCAAACGAGTCAGGAACAGAAAGCTGAAGCCCAGTGACGACCTTCCACAGGGAAACTGGCACACCCCGGGCGAAGACAAATGCCCGGCGGTGACCCAGACACAAAACAGAACCACCCCAGACGGACATCAATGTCTGGCGGTGGCAACAGGTGAGGGGAAGGAGAGGTCATCGTAGGGCTGCAGACAGACGGGAACATCCAATGCAGGGCGTCGCCGTTTTCCTTGACGGGTCAGGAGGGAACAGGGGACCAACCCGGGCAGAGAACAAAGCCCAGCGGTGGCACAATGACAGGCACAGCAGACAACCACCCCAGACGGAGGACAATGTCTGGCGGTGGTTCCAGGAATAAGGTGGTCAAAAGTGGAGCAAAGGAAAAAAGCTAAAATAAATAAAAACTTGAGTGCTGATCAACTGGGAGCAGGTGTGGGGAAATACGCATTCCGCTGAGTCCTTTGAGTGGCTGGTTCATTCTGTCATGGAGTGAGATGATGGAGGACTCAAACGCAGGAATGCAAAAATAAAACAAAGTCCAAGGCATAAAAATAAACTCCAAAATCCAAAGAAACCAGGAACAGGACATGAACAAGACAATGAACCAGCAACAAGGGGAGAGAAGCACAGGGTACATATAGACACACACAGACACAGGTGAAACACATCAGGGCGGGGCAGACAATCAACAGGGAACAGGGCATGAAGCAACTGTCAAAATAAAACCAAATACAAAAATAAAATCCACACCATGACAAAGTGTAGTATCTGTTCTTATCAGTTGCTCACTTGTTCGCACTTTGGGCTGAGACAGCGGTCGCCTCTGGGGTCAACGAGGTGTTTGCCCTCGTGGCACTCATCATTGGCCTCAGAGGACATATTGTATATTTGGTTTAATTAACTTATTGTTTTCTTCCCCTTCCCCAGCCCCTGTTTGTGAGCACCAGCACTTTATCTTGTGAGTACATTTTAAGTGGTTTTAGCCCGCACATATTTATTGTTTTTTAGTGGTTTTAACCTGGGTTTTAGCCCGTTTTTATTAGTGGTTTTACTTGTGTTTTAAGCTGCTGGTGCCTCCAGAATGTCGGCCTCCCATGCCGGCAGGAGGAGGCACCACAGCGTGCGCTTCACCCTCAGAGAGGTAGATGGAAAAGTACTGGCTTTTTCCCGCCTGGACTTTTCCAGACACTTGGTACAGAAGGCCCTCGGCTTCAAACCCGAGGATCTTAATTGCATCCTGTCTCTGCCCTTCAACAAAGGGTTTGATGTGAGCTTCAAGTCTGAAGCTAAGTGGAAGGACTTTTGGGCCAAGTACTCTGGGGTGAAATCCCAGTTTAATGCATTCTTGGTGGAGGGCCTGGTGGACAATTCACTGAAACATGTGATTGTCCGAATGTTCAATGAAACTGTGAATGCAGAGGACATTTGTCTGTGGCTGGGTAGACACTGCACGGTGAAGGGCCAGGCTATCAAGGTCAGAGATGTGGACGGCATTTGGACAGGCAGCTGGAGGGTCCCCATTCAACAATGGCTGGACCCCCAGGGCTACCAAGGCCTGAAGCACCTGCCTAGTGTGATAGTTCTGGGAGACAACCGTGGCTACATACACTACCAAGGACAACCCAAGCTCTGCCGGCGTTGTGGGGAGCACGGGCACTTAGTGGAAGCATGCACTCAAGTGGTCTGCGGTAAGTGTAGAGAAATTGGGCACACTTTTGACCAGTGTACCAATGGCAGAAAGTGCAATCTCTGTGGTGACCTGGGTCACCTCTTTAGAGATTGCCCAAAATCTTTTGCCAACAAATTGAAGGCCGGGAACAGAAAGATGGAAACTGAATGTGGACAGGAGGGTGGACAAGATGGCGGACCAACTGAAGAGTTGATTGGAGAGGTCGGCCTGGGAAATTCAAATCTCCCGCCAAAACCCCCTACTGGAGGAGAGGAGAGGGGTGAGGCGGGAGAGGGGGAGGGGCCTGTGGAGGCTCCTCCCACACAAAAGGAGGGGGAGCTGGGGCCTGTGGAGGCCACTCCCACACAGAGGCTGGTGGAGAAGCAGAGGCCTGAAGCTCCTCCCACCCACACCATGGTGGAGGGGGATCAAGAGGCCCCGCCCCCAGTGGAGAAACACCAGCCAAACCTAAAAAAGGCTGTGGGGGAGGGGGACCCTCTTGACCCCCTAAACAAATGCCTGAGCCTCCTGTTAAAAGAACCCAACAACCCCAAGAGGCCTTTGTCAGAGTCGTCCTCTGGAAATGAAGATTTCCCAGAGAAGAGGGGGAGAGCTGGGTCTCCTTCGGACAGTGATTTTAATCTAGACAAGACGTCGATTTTATTGCAGGGTTTAAACTACAAGACTGTTTTAAAGCCATGCATCCAAGAGAGGAGGGCTTCACCTGGTTCAGTGGTGATGGCACCAGAGCCTCTCGCATTGACTATGTTTTTACCAGGGATTGCCCACCCATCGATGCTAGATTAACCCCTGTTTTCTTTTCCGATCATCTGATGCTTTCCTGCACCTTCCCACTGTCCTCTGGTGTGACTGTAGGTCTGTGGAAGCTCAACTGCTCCCTGTTAAAGGAGACAGACGTAGTCCGTCAGTACAGGGAGCAGTACCAAGAGTGGCAGACCCTTCAGGACTTGCACGAGACATGAGCACAAATTTTAAACAAAAGCAAATCAATTTTAAATCTAAAAGATAGTGAAGGCCAACTCTCCGAAACCACAGACAAAGCCATGGAAATAGTTGAGCGCTTTTATTCTAACTTGTACAGTTTTAAACCCATTGATTTTAATACCACCTCCGACATTTTAAATTCCCTCGAAAACATTTTAAAAGACACTGCCATTTTATCCCACAATTTTACCCTTTTAGATTTGTCTATAAACATACGGACTTTTAAAAGGGGGAAATCCCCGGGGGCCGATGGGCTCCCAGTGGAATTTTATTTAACTTTCTGGGATATTTTAGCAGATGACCTTTTAAATATTTTTATGGAGTTTGAACGACTAGGCCGACTATCTGACAGTTTTAGAGAAAGGATAGTGACTCTACTTCACAAAGACAAAGACAAGACTGACTTGACCAACTGGAGACCTATCACCCTTTTAAATGTCGATTGTAAACTTTTTAGCAAGATTTTAGCTTCACGTCTGTCTGTGTTTTTAGAGGGATTGATTCACCCGGATCAAGCCTGTGCCGTCCCCGGGAGGAGGATCACCGACAGCCTCGTACTGATCCGAGACACCATCTGTTATGCGAGAGACAGAAACATTCGGCTAGTAGTCCTAAATCTAGACTTTGAGAAAGCCTTCGATCGGGTCTCACACCAGTACCTCTTTGAGGTGCTGCGAAAAGTGGGTTTACCTGACAGGTATATAGAGTGGGTGGGGCTGCTATACCGTGGGATCAGCAGCAGATTCATTGTTAACGGGCATTTGACAAAGGCAGTGCAAATCAACTGCGGTGTCCGTCAGGGCTGTCCGTTATCTGCCCTCCTGTACATACTTTGCATCGAGCCGCTGGCACAGGTCTTGAGAAGGGACCAACAAATCAGGGGGGTGGGCATCCCGGGTGGGGGGGGGCTCACCGCCAAATGTGTTTTATATATGGACGACGTGAATGTTTTATGCACCGACCTTTTATCCGTCAACAGGACTCTGGACTTGACTGACTGGTTTGGACTGGCCTCTGGGTCTAAGCTCAACAGAGCGAAGACCCAAGCCCAATTTTATGGACCGTGGACCCCCGACGAGACTGCTGGACTCCCCTTGATCGTGACCCAAGGACAAAAAATACTGGGAATCAGGTTTGACCGGGAGGGGGGAGGGAGTGAAAACTGGGGCGACGTCATAGGGAAAGTTAGGCAAAGACTGGGGTTCGGGACTCTTAGAGGACTGACCATGGAAGGGAAGGTTTTAATCATTAAAGCTGTGATTTTACCTTTGTTTTTACTCATTTGTTCTGTTTTTATGCCTCCTAGGAGAGCGATTTTAAACCTGGAGCGGGCGGGGTTTTATTTTATCTGGGGCTCCAAGTGGGAGCGGGTGAGGAGGGAGGTCCTGAAGAAGCCAAAGGAGAAAGGAGGCAAAGGCGTGCCGGACCTCCCTCTGTTCCTTGGCGCCCGCTTCACCGCCCTTCACCTCGCTCTGGCGACGAGCCCATCCAGAAACCCCAAGACTATGGCTTTTACAAGATTCTGGATGGGCTCCTTTTTAAGAAGGAAAAAGGTTTTACCCATTGACCTGAGAGTCCCTGTGTCTTTTAACCTGCCCTTGTTTTACGCTTTTATTCGCACCTTTTTAAAGCGTTTTAACCTGGAGCAGGAGGAGTTGCAGGTTTTAACTAAACATCGTCTTTTAATCTCCTGTGTGCAGGAGCGGGAACCAGTGAGTCCGGTGCGCGGGCTCGCAATTGGTGAGCCCTCCGAGGTTTGGCGCAATGTGAACCATCCTGCTCTGCCAAACAGACTCCGGGACCTGTCCTGGATGGTAGCTCATGAGGTCCTCCCAGTCAGGTCCGTCATGCACTCCCGGGGCCTCCTACAGTCCGCAACCTGTCCCCGGCCGGGTTGTGGCGCGCCCAAGTCGGTGAGACACTTGCTCTGGGAGTGCAGCGCCGCCGTCGACCAGTGGGCAACAGCCGGCTCCTTACAATTCCCGTACCTACCAGCAGGGAAGGTCCTCACAGCACAGCTGATGCTGTACGGGGTGGGCCTAAGTCCAAATTCTAAAAAGGACTTCACAAGAATCTGGCTCACCCTCGCCGCCACCAAAGACGCCACATGGACCTCCAGAAACCTGCTGGTAGGAAGGCACATGCAGATCCCCCCCGTGGCTGTGATCCGGATGGCAGCAGCCACAGTCCGAGAGGCTGTGGCTGCAGGCGGCGGGCCCTAGGACACAGCCACAAAGAAGCATCGCCTCTGTGCTCATTCGGACGAAGGAGACCGATGCCGCACTGAAGGTCAAAGCCGCAACGGCCTGACTCTCCGGGAGCGGACAGTGGGAAGGAGCAAGGGCGAGGACCTCTGAGCTGGACAGGCCCGAGAGACCAAATGTTTGGTAGAGCAGGATGAGTCCGACTTGATAGGGACTCACCCCGCTTCTGCACAAGGAGGGCTTTTACCCACTGCACTCCCTTTTAATTGACACTTGAATGGGCTTTTATGACACGTGATTTTATGGACATTTTGACACATTTTAACTCACAACCTTGGTATTATGTAAACAAAATATGACTAACCTTTTATTGTTGTGTTGTCTGTAAAAATGTATGTGTTTTAAATGCCATGACCAACGATCACCTGTGTCAATAAACTTTTTCGAATGAAAAAATCTGTTCTCATCAGTTTAATATCTGATACGTCCCCTACCCGGGGACCATATATTAAATTGATTTTTGGAACTGGGAGATGGAATAGGGGCTTGCTCCGTCCACTCCACGCATCGACCTGGTATTGCAGTACCTCCAGGAACGGTGCACCCCCTCTGCTGGTCAAAGATAACATTTCTTTACACATCCTTTTAGAGCAGGGCTCACCAATTTTTTTGAAACCAAGAGCTACTTGTCGGGTGCTGATTAATGCGAAGGGCTACCAGTTTGTTACTCACTTACATAAATTACCAGAAACAACCAATTTGCTCAATTTACCTTTAACTCTATGTTATTATTAATAATTGATTATATTTATCTTTGTGGAAACACTGATCATCAGGAGCCAATTGGGGAAGTGTATTTTAAACAATGGACTATGGGGAAGGACAGACTGAGAACGGTTGAGACTGTGCAGCACTGTGGGGCCAACGATGAGAGGAGGCAACAGTGGACGGCAGCAGCAGCCAGCAGTACCTGCACGGAAGGACCCACGGGAAGCCAGAGCACGACGCTGACTACACATGGCGGGCAGAGTTTCTCTGCCCGTGCACGTAAGTGACGTTTTAGTGCTCTGGCCGGGATTCATCCCACCTTTTTAATATACAGATTTCTATTTTTAAAAGGAACGTTTTACTCCTGCTCCTCTGGTTTTAGGTCTGCTGCCGTTGGGACCGTGGAGTCGCTATTTCTGGCAATTTATGTAAGCGAGTAACAAACTGGTGGCATTAATCAGTACCCGAGAAGTAGCTCTTGGTTTCAAAAAGGTTGGTGACACCTGCTCCAGACTATCACTTTAACTCATTGTATTGATAAATATTAAACAAAGCTTAATGTCAAGGCCTGGACGTCCATTTAAGCACTTTGATAAGGAGCTTATATTGTGAATAAAGGCTACAGAATAATTTTCTTCTAGTGATGTGCTGAGATGTGTTTAATGTTAATAAGAGTGCCTTGCCCTCAGCTCAAACAAGGTAGAGGAACATTGCTCTAAAACAGGGGTCACCAACGCGGTGCCCGTGGGCACCTGGTTACCCGTAAGGACCAGATGAGTCGCCCGCTGGCCTGTTCTAAAAATAGCTCAAATAGAAGCACTCAAGCCTAGTGTATAGTTGCGTGGCGCGGAGCGTAAGGTGGTGACGTGACGTCACTTGCGCAATGCGTGGATCACCGCAAGGCCCTTACGTAGCCTGCCACGCACCCATGAATACTACGCGGCCACCGCCGCAGACAAGCTCCGCTGTGATTGGTCCGTGTGTGTTTTGGACGGAAGCATGGAGCGGCTGCAGGGAGCATGGACGAGGCACTTCGGAGCAGACTGCTTCATGCTTTGAAGGAACCGAAGGAAAAGCAGTTTGGGCTGGTGGCTCAGAGCCTGATATACGCGGAGACTGTGGACTGGAGTTCTGTTGCATATCTAACATATTTATAAACGTATAAACTGTGCAGTCGTTTCTTTCGCACTGTTCCTGTCTGTGTTTGAATCTACACTCGTAGCTTATGTTCTGTTGCGTTCTACGTCATGGTGCTATGTCCTTTAGGACTTCGCTAGTGGGATATCACGTGACCCCCAGGTCACACACCAGAGAGATCAAATATATAATATATATATGCTCCAGGGCGACAGTAGCTCAGTTGGTAGAGCATTGGCCTTAAGCCCAGAAGGTCGTGGGTTCAATTCCCACCTCTGCACCTTCTCCACCAACTCCCACTGATGACTGCTGTCGTTGTGTCCTTGGGCAAGACACTTAACCCCACTTTGCCCAAAAGCCCCCACTGAAAGATCAAGGCTATGCTCACAGTCAGAGAGCAGCCGTCCTCCTGTGGACTCACCACCTGCAGAGGGTCAGTGAGGGGCTGGTGCTATGAGACTTGGGTGGCATCTCTGACTGCCACCCCCCTGACCCAGAAATGGATTAAAGGGTAGAAAATGGATGGATGGATATATGCTCCAATCACTAGCAGCCCTCCTCTATAAAAGGCCCTGCACAAGGCCGCGCCCCCTCTTTCACTCTGGCGCCGATTGAGATCATACTTACATCTACTACATCTACTTTGTCTGCTGAGATGTCTGCCTCGACTGCTCGTCCGATTTCCCCTTCGCCCTCCGGCGTCGGACGTCGTCGTTGCTTGGAGTGTCGGGTCAGGCTCCCGCGCACGGACCAGCATTCACACTGTTTCTTGTGCCTGGGTTCGGGCCATGCGGCGGAGAGCGCTAGCTGCGCCTCGTGTCTCGCTCTCCCCAGAGAGGAGAGTGAGCGCAGGCGTGCGTTCTCCGGTGCTCCAGCGCCCGGAGAACACCAGCGCCCAGAGAACACCAGCGCCCAGAGAACTCCAGCGCCCGGAGAACTCCAGCGCCCGGAGAACTCCAGCGCCCGGAGAACTCCAGCGCCCGGAGAACTCCAGCGCCCGGAGAACTCCAGCGCCTGGAGAACTCCAGCGAGACCCGGAGCCGGACCGGTTCCCACTGGATCACATGCCGGATCTAGGCGGTGGAGGACTTCACCTCGGTGGGCGCCACCACTCGAGGGAGGAGGAGGAACCCACGTTGTGCCCGCGGATGGACCCGATCCTCCATTACGCGACATGTGAGTGGCCAAAGCCCCTAGCAGCCAAGAGGCCTGCTCTGGGATACGGCATGTACTGCAGCGTGCAGGACTGGTCCTGGGCCGGTGCGGACTGAGTCCCGGACATCGAGGACTCAGTCCGCACCGGCCCAGGACCAGTCCTGCACGCTCTGCTGCCCTCCGCATCCGTGTGGCCCGGCGCCAGACCTCTCCTTCCCTCCGAGCGGGACAGGATGTCTTTGGCTATACTGGACAGGTGTTATGCCAACGCGGCTCAGGTCGTCGCCCTGGCTAACAACATGGCCTTTATCACGGGGGCCCTGGATAGGTCGTTCTCCGTTGAGCGCCTGGTCAGACCTCCTAACAGAGGCGAGGACCACCTCCGCAGCTCTCCTGCGCATGAGCCAGGCCTTTACCGTGGATGGTGGCCGCACCATGGCTGCAGCCCAAGTCGGGGCCAGGCACCTCTAGCTTGGGCTAGCAAACATCAGGGAGGCGGAGAAGAGGCAACTCCCTGATGTTTGCTAGCCCAAGCCACGCTCCGTGCTGCATTGTCCGAGGACAGACGGAGGAACATCACCCGTCTGGCCAGGGAGGTGCTAGCGGGCCCCAGGGTCCCCGCTCGGCGCCTCAGGTCCCTTCTGGGGATGATGGCGGCGGCTCATGCTGTGGTGCGGCTAGGCCTCCTCCACATGAGGAACTTCAGAGTTGGTTCTCATGCCTCAAGCTTCACCTCTCACGGGACGGGGGGAAGCTGATCTGGGTTCCCCAAACTGCAGCGTCGGACATCAGGTTCTGGCTCACTCCGGGTCTTTTGCGGGACGGAGTGACTCTGGTCAGTGCCGTGTCTCACGTGGAGGTGTTGGTGGACGCGTCACTCGAGGGGTGGGGCGGGGTCCTCAGTCAGAGCTCCGTAGGAGGCTGCTGGTTGGACTCAGCCCGCCACATCAACCTTCTGGAGATGGAGGCAGTGCACAGGGTGCTGCTACACTTTGCTCCTCAGTTGCAGGGGAGGCACGTGATGGTTCGCTCAGACAACACCACGGTGGTGTCTTATCTGAACAGACAGGGGGGCACCAGATCCCCCGCTCTCCATCGCATGGCGACGGTGATTCTGCTGTGGGCGACGGTTCACCTCCTGTCCCTGAGGGCACGCCACGTCCCGGGTGCCCGGAACGTGGGTGCCGACAGAATGTCCAGGGGGGCCCACTCCAGAACGAGTGGGGCCTGGCCCCGCGGCTAGCTGCAGAGGTCTGGCGGAGGTTCGGCCGCCCAGCGGTCAACATTTTTGCCAGTGCAGAGAACGCACAGTGCCCGTCCTGGTTCGCCTTAAGGGCCGCGGACGAGCCGCCCCTAGGGGTGGACGCCCTGGCTCACTACCCATGGCCAGGGGGCCTTCTGTATGCTTTTCCACCAGTTCGTCTTCTGCCGGTCTTGCTGCGGAGGATCGAACAGGAGGGGAGGTCGGTGGTCCTGGTGGCTCCAGACAGCCGGGGGCTTTAGTCCAGGGGGGGCCCTGTACTCACGCCTGATAATCGGCCTCAGGCTTTGGGCTTGGAGGCTGAGAGGCGGAACCTCGTAGACCTGGGTCTCCCCCCGGCGGTGGTGGAGACTATTCAGGGGGCGAGGGCGCCTTCCACGGTGAGAGCCTACACTACCAGATGGAGGCTCTTCAGCGATTGGGGCGGGTCTTGCTCCTGGGATCCCAGGCGTTGCCCCCTGGAGGGAGTCCTGGGATTCCTGCAGGAACTCTTTGACAAAGGGAGGGCTGGCGGTGTTCGCGGCAGCCATTACCTCGGGTCACGGTGGTTTTCGGGGGGTTCACGGCCCGTTCCCATCCGTTGGTCAAAGGCTTTTTGCGGGGGGCCCGCAGGATGAGGCCCCCGCTTCAAAGAACGCCCCCGGTTTGGGACCTCAGGGCGGTCCTCAGGGTCTCTCGGGCCCGCCTTTTGAGCCGGTGTCGGAGGCGAGTCCCGAGTGTGTGGCTTTTAAGACTGCTCTCTTGCTGGCGCTGGCGTCTACCAAGAGGGCGGGCGACTTGTGTGCGCTCTCTGTCCATGCGTCTTGCCTGTCCTTTGGAGGGGGTGATGGTCTGGTGGAGTTGTGGCCCAATCCGGCTTTTCTCCCTAAGGTCATCACTTCGGCCTTCAGGTCGAGAGTGATTAGGATTAGGGCTTTCCATCCGCCGCCGCATGCCTCGCCGGAGGTGGAGCGGCGGCACCTTCTGTGTCCTGTCAGAATGCTTAGGCGTTACCTGGCTATGACATCTTCCTTCAGGTTGGTTGATCAGCTGTTTTTGTGTCTGGGCCCCAGGAACAGGGGCGCCCCGCTGTCGTCTCAGCGGCTGGCGCACTGGGTCGCCACGGCTGTGCGGTTGGCGTATCAGGCTCAGAGCCTGGCCCCCCCGGTGGGTTTCAGGTCGCACTCCACGCGTGGGGTGGCGGCCTCTACGGCCCTCCTCAGGGGGGCTTCGGTCGAGGACTTTGCCGTGCGGCTTCTTGGGCTTCGTCCTCCTCTTTTGTCCGGTCTTACCTTTTGGATGGGTCGGTGGCCCATTCCGTGCTTGGTGCAGCGGATTGAGTTGAAACCGTGAGTTTCCTCATCTGAGGGGGTCTACGGTTTGGTTTTGTCTGCCCTGGTTCAGGAGCTCTTGGGAGAGGCGTCCTGCATAGTGTGTGCTTTCTCGGTCAGTTAGGTAGTCCACGTCAGGAGCTCTTGGGAGAGGCGTCCTGGGACTACGGGTGACTTTCGGTCTGTGTTACTTGGGGGTGTCCTTGGGAGGAGCGGCCCCGTAACACGTAATTGGTTTTCTTCTGCCCTGAGTCTTCTCATTGTGTGAGAGTCTTGCTCGGGCGGGGCTCCAATCACTCTTCGTACATGTTCCTACGGCCTCCGCGTTGTGTCCCACTAGCGAAGTCCTAAGGGACGTAGCACCATGACGTAGAATTAATAGTTACTTATGTAACTTAAGTTCTACGAATAGGTGCGTAGTCCCTTAGCTACGAGCCCATCAGGCCAGCCCGGCTTGGCAGAGTTCAAGAGGGGGCACGGCCTTGTGCAGGGGCTTTTATAGAGGAGAGTCGCTAGTGATTGGAGCATATTTATATATATTTGATCTCTCTGGCGTGTGACCTGGGGGTCACGTGACATCCCACTAGCGAAGTCCTAAGGGACTACGCACCTATTCGTAGAACTTAAGTTACATAGGTAACTATTAATTCCTGCACTTGTAAATAGTTCGTGTTTGTCTCAGATATTTACCACTTATTGTTTTGCTGTTTGTGCTGAATACACTTAAATAATAACTATGTTTCTAACAAGAACGGTATCTTTATTCACAACATCACAGTTAAATAAGTTGAAACGATGAGTCCATAGAACTGTCACATGAACCTACAGTAGAAACACATGTATTGATCTCAAACAGCTTTGCTTTTGTTTTTGTTCTGAAGAGGAGAAAGGAGCAGCGTAAATGGGACCGCTTTGGTTGATAAACTCCTATGAGATCGCCATCACATGTGACATGATTTATTAAAAAATGTGAGAGTTGACTTTTGTATTTTACATGAGTTATTACTTCTACAAACATGGTGCGAAGTAATTCATGATTTGATAAAAAATGTTTGTGGCTAGCTAGTTAAAATAGGATATTGTGATTTCACAAGACTGTCTTAGAAGTGATCATTTGTTGATCAAATGTTAAGATGATCAGTGTTTCCACAAAGATAAATATAATCAATTATTAATAATAACATAGAGTTAAAGGTAAATTGTGCAAATTGGCTGTTTCTGGTAATTTATGTAAGTGAGTAACAAACTGGTAGCCCTTCGCATTAATCAGCACCCAACAAATAGCTCTTGGTTTCAAAAAAATTGGTGAGCCCTGCTCTAAAAGGATGTGTAAAGAAATGTTATCTTTGACCAGCAGAGGAGGTGCACCGTTCCTGGAGGTACTGCAATACCAGGTCAATGCATGGAGAGGACAGAGCAAGCTCCTAATTCCATCTCCCAGTTCCAAAAATCAATTTAATATATGGTCCCCCATGTAGGGGACATATCAGATATTAAACTGATAAGAACAGATTTTTTCTTTCGAAAAAAGTTTATTGACACAAGTCCGTTCATTATGGCATTTAAAACACATACATTTCATACATTCAACACAACATTAAAAGGTTAATAATAATTGGTTTGCATAAAACCAGAGTTGTGCGTTAAAAAGTATTCAAAAATGCCCATAAAAAATCAAGTGTCATAAAAAGAGGTGTCAATTAAAAAGGAGTGCAGTGAATAAAAGCCCTCCTTGTGCAGAAGTGGGGTGAGTCCCTATCAATTCGGACTCATCCTGCTCTACCAAACATTCGGTCTCTCGGGCCTGTCCAGCTCAGAGGTCCTCGCCCTTGCTCCTTCCCACCGTCCGCTCCCGGAGAGTCAGGCCGTTGCGGCTTTGACCTTCAGTGCGGCATCGGTCTCCTTCGTCCGAATGAGCACAGAGGCGATGCTTCTTTGTGGCTGTGTCCTAGGGCCCGCCGCCTGCAGCCACAGCCTCTCGGACTGTGGCTGCTGCCATCCGGATCACAGCCACGGGGGGGATCTGCATGTGCCTTCCTACCAGCAGGTTTCTGGAGGTCCATGTGGCGTCTTTGGTGGCGGCGAGGGTGAGCCAGATTCTTGTGGAGTCCTTCTTTGCACTCGGACTTAGGCCCACCCCGTACAGCATCAGCTGTGCTGTGAGGACCTCCCCTGCTGGTAGGTACGGGAATTGTAAGGAGCCGGCTGTTGCCCACTGGTCGACGGCGGCGCTGCACTCCCAGAGCAAGTGTCTCACCGACTCGGGCGCGCCACAACCCGGCCGGGGACAGGTCGCGGGCTGTATGAGGCCCCGGGAGTGCATGACGGACCTGACTGGGAGGACCTCATGAGCTACTATCCAGGACAGGTCCCGGAGTCTGTTTGGCAGAGCAGGATGGTCCACATTGCGCATAACTTCCAAGGGCTCGCCGATTGCGAGCCCGCGCACCGGACTCACTGCTTCCCGCCCCTGCACACAGGAGATTAAAAGACAATATTTGGTTAAAATATGCAACTCCTCCTGCTCCATCTTGATGCATTTGGCCTCAACTCTTCCAAGTTCCTGTAGTGTTAAAAAAGTTAAGGAACATTCTTGTAATAAAAACACATCAGTATTAAGAGATTTACGACTAGTTAAAATGCTCTGTGCTCTAACTCTAGACTTAACACTTCTCACATGGGTGGTAGGGAGTGTGTTCGCCATGAGTATGGTTTTTAAAAGTGTATAGCATTCAGAGACTAAAAGACTAAAAGGATAAAACACAGAAACTGGTTAAAACACAAGTAAAACAAGTTAAAACCAGGTCATGTTTATCCTCTGTAGATCTGGCTCCGACTCCTCGTCAATGGGTGAGGGAGGGGATGTAGCCTGATCCCTCCTATGCCCCTCCTCTAGGGGGAGCTTCGGAGTCGAGTGTCTGGCTCCAGAGAGGAAAGCGACCTCGTTGGGCGAGTCGGAGGGGAAGACTCTGGGCTCCTCCACAGAGTCACTGTCTGAAGGAGACCCAGCTCTCCCCCTCTTCTCTGGGAACTCTTCATTTCCAGAGGACGACTCTGACAAAGGCCTCTTGGGGTTGTGGGGTTCTTTTAAAAGGAGGTTGAGGCATTTGTTCAGGGGATCAAGAGGGTCTCCCTCCACCACAGCCTTTTGCTGGTATGACCGGTGTTTCTCCACTGGGGGAGGGGCCTCTTGATCCCCTTCTACCATGGTGTGGGTGGGAGGAGCTTCAGGCCTCTGCTCCTCCACCTCTTTCTGTGCAGGAGGGGCCCCCTGTTCCCTCTGCACAATGGTGTTGGTGGAAGTAGCCTCGGGCCTCTGCTCCTCCACCAGCCTCTCTGTGGGAGTGGCCTCCGCAGGCCCCAGCTCCCCCTCCTTTTGTGTGGGAGGGGCCTCCGCAGGCCCCTCCCCCTCTCCCGCCTCACCCCTCTTCTCTCCTCCTGTAGGGGTTTTTGGCGGGAGATTTGAATTTCCCAGCCCCACCTCTCCAATCAACTTTTCAGTTGGTCCACCATTTTGTTCACAATCCTTTCCACCATCTTGTCCACATTCGGTATTCATGTTTCCGGCCTTCAATTTGTTGGCAAAAGATTTTGGGCAATCTCTAAAGAGGTGACCCAGGTCACCACAGAGATTGCACTTTCTGCCATTGGTACACTGGTCAAAAGTGTGCCCAATTTCTCTACACTTACCGCAGACCACTTGAGTGCATGCTTCCACTAAGTGCCCGTGCTCCCCACAACGCCGGCAGAGCTTGGGTTGTCCTTGGTAGTGTATGTAGCAGAGGTGTGGACTCGAGTCATGTGACTTGGACTCGAGTCAGACTCGAGTCATGATTTTGATGACTTTAGACTCGACTTGACCAAATATAAAAAGACTTGCAACTCGACTTGGACTTTAACATCAATGACTCTGACTTTCACTTGGACTTGCGCCAATTGACTTGTAAAGACTTGCGTAACCCGGGCCATTTTTACCTTTCTCCGCCTCTCTCTTTCTATCTATGCCGTCTCTGAAGAAACAAAGCCTCGCGGTAGTTGTAGCGCTCGCGAGAGAGTTCGAACATGAGTTCTCCGCAGTTCGCGCAGCAACACTTCCCTAAACAAGCGGACTGCATTCACCGGTGGGTGTGTTGTCTAGGGGAGCTGGAAATGAGCGAGCTGCAGGTATTTATCGCGACCTAACGTCATACTTTGTTCTACAAACCGTAATTGATATGCTTTCACTACAGGCGCCTCATACAATTGAATCGACGCAGTTGTCACACTGTGTGCCGTGTTTTAAAGAGGAACTGGTGAGTCAAACTAGCGCTAGCCTGCGCTGCTCTGTTGGCTCTTTCTTATATTTTTCTGTGTGGGCGCAGAGGCCTATTATTATGAGTATGTTTTTGCTGTGCTCCTCCTGCTAAAGTTTGCATACATTAGATAGTTGTTTTGATTATGTGCACTAAGCTAGATTAATATTTGCACTATTGTTTATGGTGCATTGATATGAGAATCAGTGCTTTGACTGATTGAATTAATTTATATGAGACATTTTATTATGTAATGATATATTGGTAATTATGAGATATTGCTAATGCTGGTCCAGTTGATGGCGAGCTGCCCCAGGTCCAAAGCCTAGACCCCTCGTACTACCCCTATTCTACAGTAGGACATTTGGAACAATAACCACTACGGACATTAAACTGATTATATAGATACAGGTCCTAGCCCAATACTCATATTCATATATGCTGCACTTGCTACTTCCCATTAAAAACCCCAAAGATAAAAAGTATGTTGACACGGACTGCTCTGATTTTATGTGTGGTCTGTGCATGTGTAACTGAGCCTGCATCTGGCACAACATCCAATTAGATCACGTAGATAGTTTTGATTTATCAGCAGCCAACGACATGGAACAAACTGTTAGTCCATGGGTCAGAGACCAACGAGAATGCACCAGCAAAATGATTCCTAACATTATTTTGTTTGCCTACAAAAGTACGTGGAGACCAACAAGAAACAAATCGCGGTCAAAAAGACTCGAGAGGACTCGAAAGTCAAACCGTAGGACTTGGGACTGACTTGAGATTTGTTGGCCTTTGACTTGGACTCGACTCGGGACTTGCCTGTCTTGACTCGTGACTTGACTCGGGACTTGAGGGCAATGAATTGAGACTGACTTGTGAATTGCTAAACAATGACTTTGTCCCACCTCTGGTATGTAGCCACGGTTGTCTCCCAGAACTATCACACTAGGCAGGTGCTTCAGGCCTTGGTAGCCCTGGGGGTCCAGCCATTGTTGAATGGGGACCCTCCAGCTGCCTGTCCAAATGCCGTCCACATCTCTGACCTTGATAGCCTGGCCCTTCACCGTGCAGTGTCTACCCAGCCACAGACAAATGTCCTCTGCATTCACAGTTTCATTGAACATTCGGACAATCACATGTTTCAGTGAATTGTCCACCAGGCCCTCCACCAGGAATACATTAAACTGGGATTTCACCCCAGAGTACTTGGCCCAAAAGTCCTTCAACTTAGCTTCCGACCTGAAGCTCACATCAAACCCTTTGTTGAAGGGCAGAGACAGGATACAATTAAGATCCTCGGGTTTGAAGCCGAGGGCCTTCTGTACCAAGTGTCTGGAAAAGTCCAGGCGGGAAAAAGCCAGTACTTTTCCATCTACTTCTCTGAGGGTGAAGCGCACGCTGTGGTGCCTCCTCCTGCCGGCATGGGAGGCCGACATTCTGGAGGCACCAGCAGCCTAAAACACAAGTAAAACCACTAATAAAAACAGGCTAAAACCCAGGTTAAAACCGCTAAAAAACAATAAATATGTGCGGGCTAAAACCACTTAAAATGTACTCACAAGATAAAGTGCTGGTGCTCACAAACAGGGGCTGGGGAAAGGGAAGAAAACAATAAGTTAATTAAACAAAATATACAATATGTCCTCTGAGGCCAATGATGAGTGCCACGAGGGCAAACACCTCGTTGGCCCCAGAGGCGACCGCTGTCTCAGCCCAAAGCACGAACAAGTGAGCAACTGATAAGAACAGATACTACACTTGATCTTAGCCAAAAGGCCGAGAAGGAGCAAGCCCCTATTCCATCTCCCAGTTCCAAAAATCAATTTAATATATGGTCCCCGGGTAGGGGACGTATCAGATATTAAACTGATAAGAACAGATTTTTTCATTCGAAAAAGTTTATTGACACAAGTCATCATTATGGCATTTAAACAACACATACATTTTTCATTTAACACAACATACAAGGTTAAAAATAAGTAATTTCCATAAAACCAGGGTTGTGTTTAAAATGTGTCAAAAATGTCCATAAAAACAGGTGTCATAAAAACCCATAAAAAGTGTCAATTAAAATGGAGTGCAGTGAATAAAAGCCCTCCTTGAGCAGAAGCGGGGTGAGTCCCTATCAAGTCGGACTCATCCTGCTCTACCAAACATTTGGTCTCTCGGGCCTGTCTTGCTCAGAGGTCCTCGCTCCTTCCCACCGTCCGCTCCCGGAGAGTCAGGCCGTTGCGGCTTTGACCTTCAGTGCGGCATCGGTCTCCTTCGTCCGAATGGGCACAGAGGCGATGCTTCTGTGTAGCTGTGTCCTAGGGCCCGCCGCCTGCAGCCACAGCCTCTCGGACTGTGCCGCTGCCATCCGGATCACAGCCACGGGGGGGATCTGCATGTGCCTTCCTACCAGCAGGTTTCTGGAGGTCCATATGGCGTCTTTGGTGGCGGCGAGGGTGAGCCAGATTCTTGTGAAGTCCTTTTTTGAATTCGGACTTAGGCCCACCCCGTACAGCATCAGCTGTGCTGTGAGGACCTCCCCTGCTGGTAGGTACGGGAATTGTAAGGAGCCGGCTGTTGCCCACTGGTCGACGGCGGTGCTGCACTCCCAGAGCAAGTGTCTCACCGACTCGGGCGCGCCACAACCCGGCCGGGGACAGGTCGCGGACTGTAAGAGGCCCCGGGAGTGCATGACGGACCTGACTGGGAGGAGAGAGTGAGAGAGGAACCAGAGAGAGAGACCTGAGAGGAACCAGAGAGAGAGACCTGAGAGGAACCAGAGAGAACCTTTATTAGTCCCACATTGGGGATGTTGCCGCGCTCATACAGGGCAGATGTAAGATCACACAAAGTAGCTGTAAATGCTTCATAAAAGCAGCAAGTAGTGATTTTCAGATAAGGCCCCGCGAAGAAATCAACACTTTCAGCCGAGTCTGCTGCTGGTACATGGACCAATACTTCATAGTAAATAATTTAGTCTATGACGCCATCCTGAGGCCAACATGTAAAATTGCTAAATTTCCATTGCAGCCTCACAAATGTATTTCAAGTCATGTGACAGATAGACCCATCATGAAACATAATATTTGAAAAGGACACACTCATATAAAAAGATAATTCAAGTATTTCTGTGTTCACGTTATTTGTGAGGATTTATCCAACTGTAGCAACAACTCTTCACCTGTGGCAACACACGAGCCGAAATCAACGGCACAAGATGTGCCTTTTATGTTTTTAATCAGTTCAGAACGATTGAAACGTCATGGTTGACGTCACCAAAAGCTTTGAGGCAGAAATAGCTATTGGGCATACGCGACACCCGTCACAAGCAATAAGATTTTAATCAGCACACGGGGAGAAATTCCACAATCTATTCTGCCAGAAGGGAGACTAGAGGGTTTATATTATCATTATTTTCTTTGACCAGCAGAGGGGGTGCACCGTTCCTGGAGGTACTGCAATACCAGGTCGATGCGTGGAGTGGACGGAGCAAGCCCCTATTCCATCTCCCAGTTCCAAAAATCAATTTAATATATGGTCCCCGGGTAGGGGACGTATCAGATATTAAACTGATAAGAACAGATACTACACTTGATCTTAGCCAAAAGGCCGAGAAGCGATAACTACAAACTGTCCGCGGGAGGGAACACTTTCTCCGCCAGGACGAGCTCAGTCACGGTGCAGAACTCTTGCACTGGGACTGATAATACTCGCAGAATTCAGAGTCAGTTCATCAAAGATAAACTCTCAACAACACACCTGCAATTGATAACTACGGGTCAAATTTATTTATGTATTTATCAGATAACTCAATGTTGATAAAGTGAAGAAACTCACAAGTCCACATGGCACGGCCAGACTCAAGATTAGACCAAACCACTGTTTTCTTATGCGTCTATTCGGTAACTATATATCCTGCTCGTATGTGCTGCATTACTTGTATCATGGTGTCAACTAAAAGAGTAGGAGTTCCGTACTGATCCTGTCTCTAAGGGCATTCATGTTCAAGGACATTCATGTTCAAGGACATTCATGTTCAAGGACATTCATGTTCAAGGACATTTAAGGACATTTTTAACATTTCTCATCCTGCTCTTTATGGACCAATATAGCTCCTATGTGTATGAAGAACAGTTTGATTGTCTGATCTAAAGTTGTTGATTCGCCAACAACAGAAATCCTCCGAGAGGACTGGTGTTGTATTCACACAAATACATTCAATTGAACTGGGAACCAAATATAAAAAATATCTGAAATAAAAATAAATACAATGAAACAAAAAATGCTTTGGTTTTATATAGCGCTTTTTTGGACACTCAACATGTCATTATTCTTTCACTCCATACACGGTGGGGATAAACTCCTACTGTAGCCGCAGCTGCCCTGAGGCACACTGACAGAAGCGAGGCAACGGTCCCAACGGCAGTATGTGCCCCTCCGACCACCACCAACCATTCACTCACACACACACACCAGAGTCATTCTAGGCAATAGGGGCAAAGTGTCTTGCCTAAGGAGACAACAACAGTCTGGCCCTTTACAGCCGCAGCCACCCCACTGTGGCTGGTGTTCCCAAAGGTCAAGTGTCTAGCCAAGGACACGACAGCAGACAGTGGGAGTCGATGGTGAAAGTCAGGCTCGAACTCACGACCGTCTGGCTCAGGGGCCAATGCTCTACCAACTGAGCTACTGTCACACACTGATAATCAATGGTGTATTAACCACACAGTCAACATTTATATATTCCAACAGTTTTTATTTTTCCCAATTCCTTTTTCCACATTGTAGAGGTGATTTCACAGAGATTGAATAATACCAGGGCAGACAGTTGAAATTATTTATGAAAGAATTAAGAAAATTTCATTTGTTAATATTGTCAGCCTTTACCATCCATAATACACCGTAGTACACGAACTAGCAGTAAAAATGTGGCGCCAACCTGAGCTACAAGCAGCGAGAGAGGAGTGAAAACAGAGGGAGAGAGTGTGATGGACATACAGCAGGACACGGTTCATATTTGTACAAGGGGGAGTCATGATCATGTTTAGTGAGGCCTTCGAGAGACAATCAAATGTGCAAGAGATTTTACATATATCAGCAGGGCCGCACAATATCCAGTGCTACAGCTTTTTAGTAAACATAAGCAGATTTTCCACCAGCTCCAGCCCTACACTACTCTACTCCAGTCTACTCTACTCTACAGTGTCTCCACTCGCCCTGTTTAACCAGTACCAGTTCCTTCTTCTGTCACTCTTGGCCCTGGTTCTATCCAGGCCGAGCTGGTACTATGGTGATGGGCCAGATTATGCTGGAAGCCATGGTTACGAAGGAAATGGGCAGGAAATACAGAGGAGATTTAGATTTCTTTGTGGGTTGCTAGCTGTATGTGGATGTGGTACCAGATACTAAAGCGTAATGGAAACACAACCAGGTAGAGTAGAGTTGAGTAGATAAGTCTAAGCAGAACTGGTGGAAACAGGGCTAAAACCATCTCCAAGAAAACTTTCAGGATCAATCTTTTCTTTTACAAACATCGAAGCAAGTTAATGACTTGACCTTTTTACGTTTTGCATTTCTCTCACGTTCACTTAAGAAATCAGTCTTTTCTCTTTATACACTATACAAGTGCCATCCTACTACTATCAAGTCAAAAATAATACAAAGATCGTCTCAGTATCTGCTTCTGTGCTTGTTCTTATTTGTTCATTTTAGTGCAGAATCATTGATATAGTGCTCGATGATGACTTTTAAGCAGCAGCTGTTGCCTTCATATTAGGAATCAAACCCTCAACTTGCTGCATCAAAAGGCAAGATCTGGAAACTTAGTGTATGCAAAACTCATTACTCGAATTAGTGTTTCATTACAGACGGCTCGAACGTTTACTTCTTTAAAATTCCAGCTTTCAGTCCTTCCCAGCGACAAAGACATTTTCATAACTACTGTAGCAGTCACATGAATCAAACGGCAGTCAGAGATTCTAAGTCTTCCACTTCCTATGGTGCTTCTTCGGTTGTAAAACAATCCAAATCTTTTGCCCTGCTATACGTTTCCAAATACTGTACGGCCCCTGAAGTAACAGATACAATTCAAAGCTTATTTTAAAAGTGTGCAGACGCGTTGCCCAAAATCAGCTATCCCTTCATTTCTACACGTCCTACCAGGCAAAAAAGAAACACAAAAAAGTACAAAAACAGTTTCGAATTGGCCTCAGAAACAACAGCAGATAACTAACATATATGTACATACAATTCAATATGATTTATATTGACAAGAACAAAAAGGAGAAAGAGAGAGAGAGAGAAAATTAACATGGAATGCTGTAGTTAGCCAACATTGTCACATCACTTTTACAACACAGCGCCATCTTGTGTTCGATTGTGTGAAGATCAGGAATAGAGCGGTGTCTTTGGGTATTGGTGGGAAGTGGAGATGAGAGAGTTGAGATTTGTAAAAGGCTGCTGTGACGTCGGTGGGATGGCTGAAGGAGGAAGACCGGTAGGGGGCGCTGTTCCCCGGGAGTAAAAGGTGCAGGTGACTTGTCGACAGCTCTCGGTTTGTTTCCGGGTCTTAGCAGCTGCAGCTCTCTGCCGGAGGTCGGGCTCGGTCGTTGCCCAGTTGGATTTGATCGGGGAATTCGTTGTACACCGACATGTCCGTTTCCTACGTGACAAAAATGGTCAGTCAAATGTCAGCAACTTTTTTCCCAATAATACATACAGCATAACAAGAGACATTTTTTTATTTATTTTATCCTTTTTTCCCCCACAATGCTCCCCTTGTGCCAAAAAAGTAAAATAAATAATAAAACGTCGGCATCTTGAAACACATATTTCCATAAGAATCCCATTAAACGGCTGCAGTTCAACTAGTTAAACTAAAATTCCAGACTTTATCCAGAAATTTTTTTAACTGATTTTTTTTTTCACAAGACCTTAACTTAAAGTACTTGTATACTTGTGTGCCCACTGCCTACTTCAGTGGTTGAGATTGTACCAACTGTGTTTATTAGAAATATAAAAAATGTTAACCATACATTTTAAGACTTTCACACAAAATTCAAGACTTTAAGGTCTGGAAAAAAGCGTTTCAAAATTTCATTCTTATTAAGACTTTCAAGACTTGCGCAAGCACCCTGACTAGTACCGGATGCTTACAGGGTTAGTGTACTTGCTGGAACATTAAAATTGTACAACATGTATGGATATTTATCAACATTCATGGACATTAGTCTCTCCTTTGGGCCAATACATAATGTTTTTTTTTGTGTGTCTTGATTGTTTCTCTGATCTGTGTTGGTGATTTCAACGGTTTTGTTAAGACCTCTGAGATGACTGCTGTTGTGATGTAGGGCGATACAAGAATAAATTGTATTGTATTGTAATTGTATAAAACAAACCCACTAGCTACATTAGCAGAGAGAGTACAAATTGTCCACATAAAGGCCGCACTGGAATATAAGCTGCAGGTTTTCACGTTCTAATTCGACACTGAACCAACCGCTGATGGAGCAGGACAAAGACAAGAGACGAAGGCGAACACGGAGGAGGCAAGCGTTAACTGTGAGCTTCCACATCGGGACTCATCAACCATCTATCTAGTTTGAGGATAAACTGCATATAGATAGACACAGCTAACTCGCTAGCTTGGTGAAGCAAGGGAAGTGCTCATTAGGGAAGGGAAGTGCTCATGGACGGATCAAACTCACCCTGGTTCCTATTGACTTGCATGTAAAAGTAAACACCTCTAGCTCAGTAACCATTTGTCACGCTCACCATTTTGGGATTAAAACATTTGTGGTGACCCTGGTGTTTCTATTGTGAAAATGCCTTTGGTCAATGTTTATATGGTTTGTATCTGGATTTACAGGTTTTTTTTTTGCGACTTAATGCTCTGCTTTATTTTGAGCCAGTGAGTGGGCATAGAAATAATTAGTACAAATCAATCAGCAACTTAGGTACATTTACAAAATATAACAAAAAATAGTAATATTAACAAAAGAGTAATAATAGTAACAAAACACTTATGGATGCTCGAAAAGAAGTGGGAAGAAGTAAACACTTATTTATACCCACCCCTAATTACATCAGTCATGACAGACAGTACAGTAGGTAGGGTAAAGGCTTCCAATCAGATGCCTTCCTTAGCAACCATCTTAGCAACATGTCTGCCCCTTGGCTCCTAGCTAGCTTATATTCAAATTGACTTCTTGCATTAACCCTTTAACATTCACTCCTTGAAAAAAGCAATGTTATTTTTTCTTTTTTGGAATTCCTAATTTGTAGGAGCGCTAATAACACAATTTGGTTTTTTAACGTTTTGTTTTTTTAATACATTTTTATTTTATTTTTTTATTATTGGCCTTTACCAAATAGTTGAGAAGCAAATTGACTGTAGAAGTTCCTAAAACCAAGTGAGATGACCAGTTGACTACAAAAGGTGATCTACCAAATGGTTGAGAAAACTATTAAAGGGTTAGGGTTCACACTGCGGTGATGTCACACTCGCTCAGTCCACTCCTAGCATGAGATACTGGCACCTGTTTGAGGGCGTTGCGAGCGATGGTCTGGAATGCCTGCTCCACGTTGATGGCTTCTTTGGCGCTGGTCTCAAAGTATGGGATGTTGTTCTTGCTCTGACACCAGGCCTGGGCCCGTTTGGTGGTCACCTGACAAAACACAGGCAAATCAGAGCAGAGCATTCCCCCAATCAACATAACAAAAACGGGAAACTTTACGTAAAAATGCATTGGCTGAAAAATGGAGATCACAGGGATAAGACTTTAGATGGAGGCCGCAACTAAAGAAAACTGCGATTAGATGTTTTAAATGATGGAGAAACTGAACATTATTATACGGCTGAGAGAGAGAATTTTGTAATCTTTATCTCCATAAAGATTACAAAATTCTCCCTCTCAGCCTTACAATAATGTTCAGTTTAAATTTGTATCTATTCTGTCAACTGTTAATCTCGAAAGCTGATTATGTAGCACACATTCCTGCTTCAGTCGGTCTATGTGAACAGCAGAGGGAGATTAGGAAGTTTATAGACTTACAGTGCCTTGCGAAAGTATTCGGCCCCCTTGAACCTTTCAACATTTCGCCACATTTCAGGCTTCAAACATAAAGATATAAAATTTAATTTTTTTGTCAAGAATCAACAACAAGTGGGACACAATCGTGAAGTAGAACGAAATTTATTGGATAATTTTAACTTTTTTAACAAATGAAAAACTGAAAAGTGAGGCGTGCAATATTTTTCGGCCCCTTTACTTTCAGTGCAGCAAACTCACTCCAGAAGTTCAGTGAGGATCTTTGAATGATCCAATGTTGTCCTAAATGACTGATGATGATAAATAGAATGCACCTTTGTGTAATCAAGTCTCCGTATAAATGCACCTGCTCTTTGATAGTCTCAGGGTTCTGTTTAAAGCGCAGAGAGAACCATGAAGACAAAGGAACACACCAGGCAGGTCCGAGATACTGTTGTGGAGAAGTTTAAAGCCGGATTTGGATACAAAAAGATTTCCCAAGCTTTAAACATCTCAAGGAGCACTGTGCAAGCAATTTTATTGAAATGGAAGGAGTATCAGACCACTGCAAATCTACCAAGACCTGGCCGTCCCTCCAAACTTTCATCTTAAACAAGGAGAAGACTGCTCAGAGATGCAGCCAAGAGGCCCATGATCACTCTGGATGAACTGCAGATAACTACAGCTGAGGTGGGAGAGTCTGTCCATAGGACAACAATCAGTCGTGCACTGCACAAATCTGGCCTTTATGGAAGAGTAGCAAGAAGAAAGCCATTTCTCAAAGATATCCATAAAAAGGCTTGGATATAAGCCACCTGGGAGACACACCAAACATGTGGAAGAAGGTGCTCTGGTCAGATGAAACCAAAATCTAACTTTTTGGCTACAATGCAAAACGATATGTTTGGCGTAAAAGCAACACAGCTCATCACCCTGAACACACCATCCCCACTGTCAAACATGGTGGTGGCAGCATCATGGTTTGGGCCTGCTTTTCTTCAGCAGGGACAGGGAAGATGGCTAAAATGGATGGGAAGATGGGATGTAGCCAAATACAGGACCATTCTGGAAGAAAACCTGTTGGAGTCTGCAAAAGACATGAGACTGGGACGGAGATTTATCTTCCAACAGGACAATGATCCAAAACATAAAGCCAAATCTACAATGGAATGGTTCACAAATAGACGTATCCAGGTGTTAGACTGGCCAAGTCAAAGTCCAGACCTGAATCCAATCGAGAATCTGTGGAAAGAGCTGAAGACTGCTGTTCACAAACGCTCTCCATCCAACCTCACTGAGCTCGAGCTGTTTTGCAAGGAAAAATGGGCAAGAATTCCAGTCTCTCGATGTGCAAAACTGATAGAGACATACCCCAAGCGACTTGCAGCTGTAATTGCCGCAAAAGGTGGCGCTACAAAGTATTAGCGCGAGGGGGCCGAATAATATTGCACGCCCCACTTTTCAGTTTTTTATTTGTTAAAAAAGATTAAATTATCCAATACATTTCGTTCCACTTCACGATTGTGTCCCACTTGTTGATTCTTGACAAAAAAATATATTTTTATATCTTAATGTTTGAAGCCTGAAATGTGGCGAAATGTTGAAAGGTTCAAGGGTACCTTGCGAATACTTTCGCAAGGCACTGTATTTGACTCCATTTTGTTTTAGTAGCAATGCTATGTAGACTCGCTTTGATCATAACCATCAAATCATGTAATGACCAGTTAAAACAGTCACCTATTGGCTCTGTTGTAGGTGTGAGCTGCTACAGCTGACAAAAGCCATGCATGCACTGTAAAATACAGCTGCAGGAGAAACACTGAAGGCTACGATAAGACCAGAAAGAGATAGACAGACGAGTTTTCTTCTGACTTTGAGATTAAGAAATTGCTTAATAGTCCCACCATGGGGAAATTTCAGTGTTACAGAACAATAGGAACGAGGAGCACGCAGATAAATGAATGACCTACATACACAAATACAGGAAACTTTCATGTTATACTAGCGGTTATAGGCTGTCGGGGAATACGCACCAAGAGCTGCTTTAAAACATTATCTGCACTGTGGCAAGACAAGGTTTACTCAAATACTAATGGGGAAAACGGACACAAGCTTTGACCAAAAACTTAACAGAAAAATGTCACAAACTGCTCTAAAACAAGCGCAGGACAAACAGAGGTGGTTTCTCTGGTTCTCTGGTTGGAACTCACCACAGTTTGATTAAAACTGGAAGATTTGTGCAGACAAAATGAAAATGTGTTACGCAGAAGGACAGACAGTTAAAGAATGTACAATACAGATGAAGCTCTTGAGGAATCCAATCAGGAAAAGTTGGCATCTTAAAGTTGAGGTACCCAATTCTCAAACCACAAAACAATGGAACTAAAGCCCCGTTTCCACCAGCCCTACCGTACTCTGTCATGTTGTGTTTCCATTTTAGTATTTGGTAAGCTAACCCTATCCTAGCGTTCTACGCACAACCAACCAGTATCCAGGGAAATTCCTTGGTAGCCATGGCTTCCAGCAGAATTCTGGTCAATCACTATCAGTTAAAACAGTAGTATCAGCTTGGCATGAATAGAGCTAGGGTTATGGCTAGTTTAATTTAAGTTGATTGTATTTAGACGTTACTGTTGCTGCTAATGGCTTTTTGTGTGGTCATTCAGACTGTTTTGGCTGATGCTAAATAGTTCTCCGTGTAGGACTTGGAATGAGTTGCTTATGTTGCCGAATAGTGAGACTTGCGCTTTATATTCAAGTGTGGCTTATATTAGAGAGAACAACCTTAACTCAGCTCTCATAGTGTCCTCTCTTAATCCCTTTCTGTGGTTTGAGAGTTAGGAACTGCAGCTTTAAAGACAGTTTCAACAGATCTAGTTGGAGCATTCCACACCTGTCTGTTCTCCAGGTCGATCTTGTTGCCTAGCACCACAAAGGGGAAGTTCTCTGGGTCTCTGGGACTGGCCTGGATCAGGAACTCGTCCCTCCAGGAGTCCAGCGTCTTGAACGTGTTTGGAGCTGTGACGTCAAACACCAGCACGCAGCAGTCGGCGCCGCGGTAGAAGGCCACGCCCAGAGACTGGAACCGCTCCTGCCCCGCGGTGTCCCAGATCTGACCAGACAGAGGAGAGGCCGGCCTTAAACATTACTACGGCCAATATTATGATCACACCTGTCCCTGAAGCTTTCCACTTAATATAGGACTGCCGTATATGGATATTTATCATAGACAGATGGACCATGCTAACCCGCTAGCTCAATGAAGCCCAATAGGGACGCTACGTCCGCGCACTAACTTCTCTGCGCACTAACTTCTCTCCGGAGACTTCTCTCTCGCTGCTACTGTGTGTATTACAAGTCACGCTGCTTCTATTGACGGAAGTGAGCGAGAGAGAAGTCTCCGGAGAGAAGTTAGTGCGCGGACGTAGCGCCCCTCAGATTACTACGCCTCACAATATAGTACCCGTTTTATCCGCTGAGAAGATCGACTGTTACATTTCTGTGTTACTATACTTTGCAGTGTAACTATATACATTTAATAGGGAACACTTGGAAGAGTTTGGTAGCTTCTAGCGGGAGCTACCTTTTGGTGCTACAAAATATACAGAGGAGGCTGGGGTTGTGCTCCCGTTTTTGCTCCGTTTGCATGACAGAGCGCACGGACTAAGACCAGACAGGTACGTATTAACTAGTCTAAGGTAAGGTAAGAACATTTGTCAGTATGTAAAAACGGTGAACTATTCCTTTAATCTCGCTCTGGCTCCTTTTGACTTCCTGCTACCTGTGGACCAGTGGCTTTTATCAGTTTCTTATCATCGCATTTACTGTGTTTTAAATGTTGGATTCTCTGATTTGTTGTTGAATTGACAATTGTTGAACGTCCACTTAAATCACAACAACAGTCGTCTAAGACAAACAAAAATAAACTGAACCTAAAAACAAATATATATATAAGCAAAGGAAGGTTTCTCACCCATCATCTGCACTTCTTAGCAAGTTTTCCCGACGTTTCGTCCTCAACCTGGGGACTTCTTCAGGGAATGAATTCTCGGACCGCGCGTTGGAGATTTATAACCTATGGGTGTGGTAAGCCACACCCTAATCCTGATACTAACTCATCAAGAATCTAAGGTCTGCTTGATGTAGAAGGGAGCAGGTCTAACGACCCTATGAGGCTAACGACCCTAACTCATTAGCATGTCACTGACCTTGTCCCAAGTTAGGGCGTTGTTTTTTGGATGTCGTCATAGATGCGCGGCAACACAAATCTTAACCCTCCTCCTCTGTTAAGAGAAGGTTTTTGTTTCCTCACAAAAATGGCTTCTTTCACCCCTCTCTCAAACCAATTCTTCTCCCGAGCCAGAATTTTAACCTCTGTGTCATCCACCGTGTGGTTGGAGGCCTTGAGGTGGAGATGAACAGCCGACTGTGGCCCACTAGAGTTTTCTCTACGATGTTGGTAAAGTCGTTTCTGTAGAGTTTGTTTAGTTTCTCCAATATAGTGGTCAGTGCACTCCTCTTCACTACATTTAATTGAATACACCACATTGCTCTGTTTGTGTCTGGGTGTTTTGTCTTTGGGATGCACTAATTTCTGTCTTAACGTGTTGAAAGGTTTGAAATACACAGGGATTTTGTGTTGCCTAAAGATTCTTTGTAGTTTCTCTGAAACTCCCGCCACATACGGTAAGGACACCCCTCTCCTCCTACTTTCTTCTGTCTGTAGGACTGTGTCTCTGGCCTTTCTCGTCCTTTGGGCTTTAGTAAAAGACCACTTGGAGTAGCCACATCTGGAAAGTGCTCTCTGAACATGTTTGGTTTCTCTGTTCTTTCCCTCCGAGCTAGTGGGGACCTGGTGGGCTCGGTGTTGAAGCGTTCTAATGACCCCGAGTTTGTGTTGTAGCGGATGATTTGAATCAAAGGCCAGGTACTGGTCAGTGTGAGTGGACTTTCTGAAGACCTCAGTCTCTAATTGTCCGTTCTCCAGTATGATGACCTTACAATCTAGAAAGGCGAGTTCACTCTCCTTCGCATCCTCGCGAGTGAAATTTATAAAAGGGTCCACCGAGTTAATGTGTGCTGAAAATGGTTCCACTTCCTGTTTCTTTAACTTAACCCATGTATCGTCTACATATCGAAACCAATGGCTTGGCGCTGTCCCTTGGTAAGAGCCCAGGGCTTGTTCCTCCAGTTTCTCCATATACAGATTGGCCACTATCGGAGAGACTGGGGAGCCCATCGCACAGCCATGAATCTGTCTAAAGAAGGTGCCTCTAAATTGGAAATACGTGGTGTTAAGACACATTTCAAGTATTTCACAGATGTGGTCAGCTGTTAAGTTTCGTTCTCTCCCCTAGTGTGGCGTCTTTCTGTAGGCTTTCTCTTACAGCCTCCACCGCCTCTGTAATAGGGACCGACGTGAAAAGCGATGTCACATCAAACGAGACCATTGTCTCATCTGTGTCAAACTGGAGGTGTTTGATTTTATTTACAAATTCTTTTGTGTTTTCTATGTGATGGTGGGTGTTACCCACCAAAGGAGCCAGAATGGTTTTGAGGTGTTAAATTCTGGCTCGGGAGAAGAATTGGTTTGAGAGAGGGGTGAAAGAAGCAATTTTTGTGAGGAAACAAAAACCTTCTCTTAACAGAGGAGGAGGGTTAAGATTTGTGTTGCCTCGCATCTATGACGACATCCTAAAAACAACGCCCTAACTTGGGACAAGGTCAGTGACATGCTAATGAGTTAGGAGGGGTGAGACCTGCACTCCACTTGAGCATCCCAGCAGACAATAGGTCTGTGACATGCTAAGGAGTTAGGGTCGTTAGCCTCAGCAGGGTCGTTAGACCTGCTCCCCTTCTACATCAAGCAAACCTGAGATTGTTTACGAGTTAGTATCAGGATTAGGGTGTGGCTTACCACACCCATAGGTTATAAATCTCCAACGCGCGGTCCGAGAATTCATTCCCTGAAGAAGTCCCCAGGTTGAGGACGAAACGTCGGGAAAACTTGCTAAGAAGTGCAGATGATGGGTGAGAAACCTTCCTTTGCTTTGACTAATCCCTGTACGACTGAGGGCTTACACAAACAAATATATATATATTTCTGTTACACATGCAAACACCTGCTGCTTGCCTTTCAGAAATGTACATTATCAACAATATCATAGTTTACAATGAACAGATCCTGTATGGTGTGAGTGTGTATGTGTGTGCTGACTCACCTGCATGGTGACGAGGCGGTCGTCCACCATCACCTCCTTTGTGAGGAAGTCGGCTCCTATCGTGGCTTTGTACTGGTTACTGAACTTTCTGTTCACATACTGGTTCATGAGGGAGGTCTTCCCTACACTGCAAAACAACAATCTTTAGTATTACATTTGTATGTCAATATCAATGTCAGCTTTCTTATTTACAACAACATAAGCTGCCCAACGTGCTTCACAGGAAGAAAAGATTAAGAGCATTAAATACACAATAATACAAGGACAATGTAGAACAGCAAAACTCAGTTGGTGTTAAAAGCTAAGGCACTTAAAAAAGCAGCTGCTCTAATGAACAGAGGTCACTATTCCACAGTTTGGGAGCAGCAGCGGTGAAGGCCTGGTCTCCTCCAGGTTTGAGATGAGACCTGGGAACGTTCAACAGAAGCTGGTGTTCTGTTTTCAGCATGAACCAGCATCGTGTGAGACTGAAGGAATGATGCATCCAAATCTAAAAGCAGTCACATTGACTGTTCTGGGGATTCTAGTGTTAATCCAATAACCGTTAGAAGGAGTCATTAAAGTGATGATTGCAGTCCTCCGTCTCCCCTTCTCCTGAACTTACCCAGAATCCCCCAGAATGATGACTTTGAGCAGCACCTTCTTCCTCGACGTCATGGTTCCACAGCTGTAATGACACACATGCATCTTTAAAAATCAGAGTATCAGAAAAACCCAATGTGGGAACGGTGAAGGTGCATAAATCATGGCCCAGGAGGAGATTCTCTGACGGAGCTCTTCATAGTGAGAGCAGAAATGTTGTTGGCGGCTTGTCCCTTCAGATGCCAATCATTCCGGTCATGTGCAAATCATGAGGAGCACATCAGTCTTGGTTTCCACACCAGATGTTGAGGGAAATATAACTCCCTTTGTAATTTACAATATAGAAATGAAGCTCAAATCAATAACATCTTATTTATCTTTGAGAAAAAGTCCATCTAAACTCAAATTCACAGCATTACATTTTCTTGGGGAGATTTCATTGTTGCGTAACAACAATAAAAACTGACAACGGTTCACGACACAGTTCCATTTACAAAATAATTTCCCAGATCAAAGATACGTTTATGCAGTGACACGACGGAAATGTGCCGCATCATAAACTTCATTATCAGACGAACGGGTTAAAGCCAAAATGGAGGATTCTGTTGTTGTAATGGAATTATGACTATTACATTTCCTGAGATCTCTTGGTTACTTTGACTTTTCAAAGTGAGTGCTTAAACAACAAGCAATTTAAGTATGAAAAAGTCTGCGTAAAGAACATTATTTGTATTTGTATTTATTTAACCGGGAAAGATTAAGAACCATTTTTCCCCCAAAGGTGTCCTGGACGTTGATGAAGCTTGTTAGAAAGAACGGTACAATTAAAACACACACAGGTGAGATCATTACTTATTATCATTTCTTCTTTGCCGGACTATAGGAGTTAGAACATGCCTCCTTCATAGTCATCATAGGGACACTGAATCCTTTAAACCCATTTGTCTTAATCATTTGGCTTTCTAATCTGTTTGATAATGATGGTCTTATTTTCTAATCAACAATTCTAAGATGTCCTTCAAAAAGCTGTTGAGATTTTGAGCTCCACAAAAATTATTGATTTGATTTGACACTTCTAAGAATAGGGCACTGCACAAACCGTGACGTCACTTCCAAATCAGAAGGGAAATTCCAACAACCTGCGACATATTGGCCAAAGCAATAATATGGACAGGGCTTGTGGATCATTCTAATCAAATAGAATTAACATACACACAGATATAGATTCATAAGAAATTCAAAAATACATTGAAGCCTTAGACATAGATATTGTTGGCGTTGATAACTTGCGTCTGTGTGACTGGATCGGCAAAAAAGAACCTGAGAAATGACTTATACCCAAGGTCTTCCTCCTTTCAAAAAATAGAAAGTACCATGGCTGACTCAGCAGGTGAGTAAGCGTAAGCACACGAGACCAAAGGATCAGTACAAAACAAAGCAGAATATCTGTTTTGTTTACAGAAGAGATTATGTTTGGTTACTCTGTATCCAAGGTACCGATGGTTTGGCTTTAAGTACGTGCTTATTATAATATTTGGGAGCAGACAGTGTTGGGACGGATCCAAGCAATGTGTCTTTAACCTCTACCACTTTGTATAAAAGTTCAATCCTGACGAGACGCTGATGAGTCTTTGGAGTTTGTAGATTGTACGAAATAGTATAAGACCAATATCCGATCCAGGAATCTGATCCAAACAAAGCGGAGCTAGCATGCACCACTGAGCTCCAAGCATCCACGTCCAGTAAAACAATAATACTTGAGTTACAAGTCGAACTGCAGGTAAAAGACCACTCTACTTCTGTCCCGCTGTCGACACAAAACCAAAAAGGTCCTTGTTGCCCTGGAATTTCCCCTGATTGAGTCTTCGACAAGTGTAAAAAGACACAAGTGTAAACATGTGCTGCTGATAATGTAGATTTACTCCGAGCACAAACATATGCGAAAACTAGTGTCTAAAGCAGACATAGAGAAACTCATTCTGCATTTGTCTCCAGTTGTTTAGATTTCTGTAGCGGCTGCTCACTGGTCTCACCAAACAAACTGAAAAATGGCTGCAGCATATTCAAAACACTGTACCATCACATTAGTCCAGTTCTCAGGTCTTTGCACTGGCTCCTGTGGCTCAGAGAATAGACTTTAAAACATCTCTGCTTGTTACAAGTCTCTCCAAGGCACCAAAGTACATCTGTGGACATGTTAGTGCCAAATGAACCAACTCGGACTGAAGAGAACAGGGACTGGCCTCTTGCTAGTGCCCAGAGTCAGGGCCTAACATGGAAAGGCAGCGTTTCAGATTTCAAAACTTCCTGAAGAATGTGAGACAGGCTTCTTCTCTGACAATGTTCAAATCCAGCATTTTTTTAAAAGCAGTTTTCAGCTGTGCATACGACTGAAGGACTGTATATTCACTCTTCTTAATGTATTCTGATCAGTTATGATTTTAATATTTTTTTTCTTGTTTTGTTCAGCACTTTGAGTTTTGAGTGTATGAATCGTGCTATACAAATAAACCTGCCATGCCATGAGATCCATGCAAAAACAAGATTCTTAGAGAGACTCCAAAATTGAGCACAGGATAAAACAGAAGCAAATGTTAAATTCTGGTTCCACCTCACTGACCACACAGAGCTGTACGCGGGTTTAGAATTACCAGAGAGTAACAAGACACAGGAAATGCAGTTACAACATTGGGTTATTGATTTTATCAAATCCTGAAGACTGAAGCCATTTTGCATCAACAGCCTCAGATAGGATTAGGGCTGGACTTCGACATCTGCTGATACACAATAATAGTAAGGTATTTCCAGTGGCATTTGAAAATGGTTCCAATTGTGATTCTTATTTATCCTGTGAGCTCATTCAATTCAGAATATTTTTACATCACCCTAAATTCACAACAGACTGAGGCTGTATAGATCCAGGAATGAGAATGCTGCCAGATAGGGAGGGGGTAAGTCTAAACAACTTTTAACTATGAAAGTAGAAACTGACATTCTGGATCATAAAATGGCTCATCCTCGTCGCCGCAGGAGGATCTATTCATTTATTCATCTATTCATTTGTTGTTTAATGTTTGGCAGTGTATATTAATAAACAGCAGCTGTAAATACACCAAATTCTACCCTTCTAGCCAGTCTGTCCCACAGTAAAGTGAAATCATCATGAACTAAGTAGTAGTAGTAGTAGTAGTAAGTAAGTAAGTAATCTTTATTTATATACCGCCTTTTCACTGCACATCGGAGTCTCAAAGCGGTTTACAATTGTTATGAACTGCTGTACATGTTTATAGCGGCAGGGGAAACCCAGAGCACCTGGAGGAAACCGAATTACCCGGAATGCAAACACCTGAAAAAAGTGGTGTTTTATAATCCAGGTGCTGTACAAACTAATGTACACACTACACATTCTCAGCATCTACTCAGTTCCCCTGTGCTTTTCCTCCTGTTTATCTTATCAATGCTGTTGTCTTATCTCCAATAGACTTTGTTGTTTAAAATATCTCAAAACGTTACCTCAGCCACCACCAGTCGAGTCGTAAAAGACCTGTTTGATGAGTCCTGACAGTGGAGGATTACACGGCAACTTTGAAATGAGTCACAGAAAACACATTGAACAGTCTTTTGACAACAGTCACGTGTTCGCCGTGAGTCAGCCGAGCAAATCCCCAGAACAACTCCTCTCAAGTGTCAAATCTGTGATGTAGTGTGGGGGGATTGGCTTCATATAGTTGATAAAAGCCTAAAATTGTATTTAATAATAACTAGTAATGTTTTAAAAATGTATGAAAAAAGCTACTGTGGTTTACAGTAATAACACTAATCCTATTTCAAGGATCAGAGAGTGGAAAATCTCATAACAACAGCTGTAAGTTCATCAGTAGCTGTAAGTTTCTGGACAGTAGTCATACTGCTACATATGGATGGACCAATGGCAGCGTTTGATTCTCTGATCCGTTGTTAGCGAATTGACTACTTTGTAAAGTCCTCTGAGACGTCTGCTGTTGTGATTTAGGGCGATACACACATACATGGATTTCAATAGATTAGTATGCATAATGGTGTCCACGGCTAAACATTTATTTTTGGAATATCAAAAATGTCTTTGTTTTGCATCAGATCTTAGAGCTGAAAAACTAAGAGCACTCATCAAACACGGTGTAATACCCAGTGGTAGGTCTAGCATATGTACTGCACAATATCATAATTGTATTCCGTGTTGGGTAGGTGAGAGGGGGTTGGAATAAAATAAGCTTCTGCGTCATCCAACCCTTTTCAAACTTGTATTAATGGGAAATTGTGTTGTGCAGGTTGTAAAGGAATCCAACAAATAATTTCCTTGTTTTATTTACATACTTGTCTTGTGCGCACTGGGGACTTTTTGCAAAGGTATTCCAATGTGGTTTTACCGTAAATGAAAAATAAATGAATCTCTAAATCTAAATCTGAACTCACGAATAATAAACTCTGCAGCAATAATTGCACTTGGGTCAAAGATAAGTAACTTGCACAGTATACACTTAGCAGCAGTCATAAGGTTTAACATTTACAGATGTCAGATGGTTAATATTGTACTTTAGAAGCAGAGAATATGACACGAATGATAAAAGAGTAACAATAGCAATAGGTTCATATGTAGTGACATCAGTGACAAATTACAACACAAGCCTTATACAGGGTTGATTCTAACAATATTTACTGCTTGTCGGTAGATTTATAATAATAATAAAAGCAACCGTTTTATACAGCCCTTTTTTGGACGCTTTATGACATTGTTCTTCCACTCGATAGACAGCGGTGATGAACTAATACTGTAGTCACAGCTGCCCTGAGGCACACTGACAGAAGCGAGGCAACCAGTGTGTGTCATCAACCTCTCTCACCACAACCACCAACCATTCACACGCAAACCTGACTCATTCTAATGTGGGTGAAGTGTCTTGCCTCAGGACACAGAGGCAGTTTGTCACTTTACAGCCACCCCACTGTGGCACCTGGTGTTCCTAGAGGTCTACCATCACAGTACTAACCAGGCCCTGCACTGCTTAGGCTTCAGAGCTTTAGAGGTCTGATGCGATTTCTCCGTCACATGCAGGTAGCGCTTGGACATATATATATTGAACAAAAAGATTATAGTATTTAGCTTAGCTTGTTTTAGACGTGTGTTGTACAAGCAACTCGGATCAGAGAGCTGGACGCGACCCAGAGAAGCCTCAGGTCGGCCTTGTTCTGACACGAAACCCGCTCTGAACATCACTCTAACAGGCCATACAACCGTGAGTAGATTGGGAATAACAAAGTAATCAGGAACTAAATAATCAATACGAGAAATCCCGAGGAAAGATGCAGTCACATGATGCACTCACTGTCGCTGTCTGGAGACCTCCGCAGGCTAACCCCGGCTAGCTCTTCGCTTCGCGGGCTTCGGACGCTCTGTCTCGGGCTGCTGCTGCTTGTCAAGCCCCGTCACATGTAGCTCAGGTTCGGGCTGAAGACCGGGGAAGCGCCGGTGTGAACGGTCCGCGGGAGCTGTGGGAGATAACGGGGGTTTTGGCACTTTGCTGAAGGCTGCGCCGTTTCTTCCCCTTTCACTTCCTCCTCAAACACACCGGCGTCATGACGTCACACGTAAACAACAGACCACGCCCACGTGTCTAGCACAACCCTCTACAGACAGTCTATCTACAGATCTATGGGTAACAAAAATCAGAAACGAATAATTAATATTTATCGGTGTGCGTGCGTGTGTGTGTGTGTGTGTGTGTGTGTGTGTGCGTGTGCGTGTGTATGTGTGTTAATAGTAACATTATGGACAGTGTTCATCCGCTCCCTATGAACCATTGGCTCCTATTATATGTTTTTAAATATTGCATTAGCAACTTTGTAAAGTCCGAGACGACTGCTGTTATGATGTTGCTAAGACGGTTGCTAAGGCAAGCTGGAGTTTCCCCTGCAAATGAAGACATCTGATTGGTCAATCCTTATATGGCTCATATATCCGGATTTACAAAGGCACAATATAAATATCCAGGATCACCGAGAGCTATACACCGCAGATTAATTTGAACTCAAAATGTTGAGTGGGACACAAACAGCTACTGAGCTGAGTGTACTTTTACATGTAAAACTAAACTCACAGGGCACTTTGAGTTGCCCTGTGTATGAATTGTGCTATACAAATAAACTTGCCTTGCCTTGCCTTGCCTTGCCATGTAGCTGGAGCCAGAGCGAGTTGGAGCAAAATCCATGCGCACCTCAATTGAGCTAGCGGGTTAGTATGGTCTATGGTCCATACTGTATGTACATTCTATGGTACAAGTATACTTTTGCTCCACCAGAGGGCATGACAGTATCACAATAGAACACAGTCAGTTCTCTTCAGCCTCACTGAGAGAACACAAAGGTCAAAGGCAGGTGAAAGTAAGAAACATTAAGATAGATTCAGGTTCAAGAAACTCAGGCCTCAACCGTGAGTGTGACTCTAAAGAGAAGACAGGGTAAACAGATCGAAGGTGGTGGGTGCAGGAGGACAGATGTTAATAAAATGGAAACTTGACAGAAAATACACTGTGCAATTTAGACAAATTATATAGAATTTTTCACAAAACCCTTAACTTTCTGCATAGTGTCAAAAGAAAGTTTCTCATACCACATATATCTGACCACAATATCCATTCCAATAAACTTTTATTTATTGCACGTTTTATTTCAATTTTCCTAATTACTGCCCAATACAAAAGTTGCACATGTAAATATACAGGTGTGCCAGCTTTATATGTAAATGTATTAATAAAACATTAAGATATATGAAATCCAAACAATCAAAATAATAAAAATACTATAATACCTATTATGTATACATAAATAAGGCTGAAAACAGTAAGAAGTAAAATAGTTAGACAGTGGAATCAGGTGGGGGAAACTGGAGCTTCTGGAAGAAATGCTGTTCCTCTAAAACTTCTCAGAAACTCTTTTACATTTCAGATCCACATCAAACCCAGGTCTATCTTTTACAGGTCGAGGTCACAAGAGTCAAACTCAAAACTCAAGGCCTGCGGGAAAAATACGGCCCCAGACCAGTTTCAATGGCCCCTGAAATTATTTGTAACTTATTATATATATTTTTTTTACTTGCGGCATTGTGTCTAAGTTTGTAGCCATACCTACAGGTGAAAGCTAGATCCAGTCAGACCTCTGAAGTTAAGCAGATCAGGGCCTGGTTTGTACTGTGATGGGAGACCCCTGGGAATACCAGGTGCCACGGTGGGGTGACTGCGGAAGCAGTAGAATGAGTCTGGTGTGTTTATAAATGGTTGGTGGTGATGGGGGGGGGCAAAGGCATGATCAGACTGTCTCACTTATGTTAGTGTGCCCCAGGGCAGCTGTGGCGTGTGAAGTGAGTGAATATTGGCACATGGAGCGTCTTTGAGGGTGCAAAAGGACCAAATAGAACCAATACATTGTCATTTTTAATATGAGCTTCATGGAATTTTAAACATCATTTTTGAAGCTATTTCTCTCAAGAAAACAACCATCGAATTAATTATGTTATAACTGTTTAACCCAACACTTAAAATAATAAGTGCTGAAATAAAAAGTTTTGGGTAAAGGAAATTGTTAATTAAAAATATAAACCATTGGACAAATCTTTAACTTTAATCCAGTTTTGAGTCAATCCAAACTCACAGTTACTGAACGAGATTTACTCACAATAATCGACCATAGAATAATCTCCAAACTCAGGTAAAATACATCTATATGTTTCTAGGTTTATTCTTTCATGTGTTTAACAAAATGTCCAAACAATACTTTTAATGATCAAACTGTACAGTTCACATGTCAGAACAGGATTATTTTTCATACCCCTAAAAACAAAGCAAAACACGTTTTAGGATCGTCTCAAAATAATGATTGCCTCATTTACAGTACAAAACAGTAATACATTTGTCAGAATACCTTCATAATGTAAAAATGCAGATACAGATGTCCACAGATGCAGAGATGAGCTTCAAACACTTGGCCCTGGTCTTGGTTCTAATATGAGGAATGTGTAAAAAGACAGAAACCGTTTCATATAAGAATAAAAGCAAGTCCCGGCTTTTCCTTGGGGATTTTGCATGTTCTCCCCATGCCTGTGTAGATTTGCTCCAGGTGCTTTTGTGACTGGGAATGCAGATGGAATTTAGCAAAAAACAGCTACATTCTGGCGCAGTATTCATACACACTGTCAAATTCAAAAAAAATACAATCGCGCTCAGACACCACTGGTGCAGCTGCCACAGAAGGAGAAATACTGCTCTGAAATATCGACTTTATAATCCTAAGTAAGTAAGTAAGTAAGCTTTATTTATATACCGCCTTTCACAGACCAGAGTCACAAAGCGGTTTACAATTGTTATTTTTTTTTTGGGCACTTGTCCTCTCACTCCACACAGAGATGGGAGCGGGGTCGCCGAACAGGAGGCGCATGCCAGACCTATTGTACATATTTTTAGTGGTAGGGGAAACCGGAGTACCCGGAGGAAACCTACGCAGACACAGGGAGAACATGCAAACTCCACTCAGAAAGGCCCTGGTCCGGCCGGGATTCGAACCCAGGACCTTCTTGCTGAGAGGCGAGAGTGCTATCCACTCAGCCACCGTGCCGCCTCATATTATTACAATGATATAGCATTATATAATAACAGATTATCACAGCAGTTTTCCAAGACAGATAGACACTGTGTGTCCCTCACATAAACTCTCAATCAATCAATATATTCTTATTCTTAAATCACATTTGAAACAGCATAATAGAAAAGTGCTGATCAGAGAAGTGAAAAACAGCAACATCAAAAACACATAGAATTTCAAAAAAACATGTATACAAATAAAAGGTTGTGTCTTGCTACTAGGTGTTAAAGATCAAGGAGAAATGCTATGTCTTAAACATAGGTTTGTGGAATGCAGCTCACTGAACATCAGATCAATCACAAAATCAAATCAAAATTCCTCCTAATGAACGAACTTATTAAAAACAACAAGCAGCATTTACTTGCACTCTTGGAGACATGGCTCCCTCAGATCACCAGTTTACTTCTATTCAATTCAATTCAATTCCTTTTTGTATAGCCCTATCACAACAGTAGATAATAATAATAATGCATTGGTTTTATATAGCGCTTTTTTGGACACTCAACAACACTTTACATGTCATTCTTTCACTCCATACACGGTGGTGATAAACTACTACTGTAGCCACAGCTGCCCTGGGGCTCACTGACAGAAGCGAGGCAACCAGTATGTGCCATCGACCCCTCCGACCACCACCAACCATTCACACACACACCAGACTCATTCTAGGCAATGGGGTTGAAGTGTCTTGCCTAAGGACACAACGGCAGTTTGGCACTTTACAGCCGCAGCCACCCCACTGTGGCTGCGTGTTCCCAGAGGTTCAGTGTCTTGCCAAGGACACAACGACAGCAGACAGTGGGAGTCGATGGTGAAAGTCGGGCTCGAACCCACTACCCTCTGGCTCAAAGTCCAATGCTCTACCAACTTGAGCTACTGTCGCCCCGATGAGGTGGAACATCCGCTGGGTGGATCAGGACAGGTCACAAAGTGGAGTAGCCGTTTGGTTCGGACCATTTTCTCTGCTCTAGTCCAAAGTAAAATGCTAAATGCTTCATTAGCATTTCTCAAAAAGTTTGCATTCCTCCAGAGGATTTTCACCTTATACGCTTGGTTCGGACCATGAATCCTCTCCGCTCTGGTCTGGACCAGTGCAAAACCATGAACACTGTACTGCAGCAACATCTCAAGTAGAAAAAAGCGAGAAAAATAAAAACAGTAAAACACAAAACAACAACTGTTTCAGAGCTCCTTTAGGGGTTACTGCCGTTTCCAGTGCATTCAAAAGTAGTTATCTTGGAGGACAAAGCTGTTGATTCGCCAACACAGATCAGAGAATCAAACGGTTCAAACACAGGAAATGCAATGATGAAAACGCATAGAGCCATTGGTCCATATCGGGCAGATATGTCCGGAGATTGTTAATAGATGTCCATAAAGGGTGTTGAATGTTCTGGATCATCACCACTGTTCTTAGACCCTCCTGCATCAGCGAGGATACTTCTCACTCCTAATACAAACAATACATTCTACTCATTTGGCCTTAAGTTGTTGCCAATTCAGCAACTTTGTTATGTCCTCACAGGCGACTGCTGTTGTCATTCAGAGCTACACACAAATATTTAGAATTGTCAGAGCAGTGTTGTCCCTGAGTTAAGTGTTCCTGTCGCTGCATATTGTTTGCACACCTTGTTCGTGGAAGTGTGCCGGCGCAGCTTCCTGATACCTGGAATAACTCGACTGTTTATAGAAGAATTCCTGCCTTCTCCCTCCTATTGAGCCTCCGGTTTTATGACCCCATAGTAAACAAACACAAACACAGAGAGACAAAAGGAGGTGAGACTCAGGACAAGCCGGGAGAAGATGGAGGATTGCCATATAGACAAGCTTCCAGGTCAGTGTGCGAGGCTGTGAGGGAGGGGAATGCCAAACATGTTGATTGAATATCCCAAAGGATGACGGTAGCAGTGCAGTGCAGACCCCACCTCTGACTGCATGACCGTGGGTTGGGGAGATGCTCTGATTGTGAGTGTCAGGGGGGTGTGAGCAGCAGTCCGAGTCAGACAGCAGAGAGAGAGAACTGCACTTATCCAGGAATCTGAGCCAAAGGACCCTCACGGCAGACAGTGAGCGGCAGACAGAGGACCAGGACATGACCCGGGACACAGAGGCACTCGCTCTGATAGGACAGCTATAGATACAGGACAACTCTAGACAAGACAGTGGTAGGACAACTCTTGACAAAAAAGTGGTGGGACAACTCTAGACTGGACAGCTCTGAATGGGGCCGCTATAGATAGATAGATAGATACAGATAGACAGTTACAGACACAGAACGGCTCTAGACACAGGACAGATATAGACAGGACACATCCCTTCTCTGGGACATGCTTTATGCTCAAGGGACACACAGGTTGTTGCAGTAAGATAAGGGTTCTTCCTGTTGTATCGATGGTGCTGTATGGAGCAAGTGGGAGGCTCCTGCTCCTGTCTCTGCTGGTCGTAGCCCTGACGCCCGCCCAGGGCTCTCCCTCCTGCACTCAGCCCTCCTGCAGAGAGGCCCTGGTAGCGGCTCTGGTTCCGGGGCCTTGTGAGGGGGGTCAGGGCGGGACAGGGAGCTGCAAGACGCTCCAGGCAGATGCCCCACGGAGGATGGAGCCGAGGCATGACATCAGCCAGAGCCAGACCAAGGTGAGTGACACACGCGGAACTTTTAAACTCATATGTGTTAGATTTAAGCAGATTCGTTTTCCATGACGACAATAGCTTCAGGTAGATCCAGGACACTGAACGTTCAACAACATTTATTGACTTTATCTAAGTTTATGGAGTTTGGTCATCTGTGCCTTATGGACCAATAGGCTCTATGTTTTTTTATAATTGCATTTCTTGTGTTTGATTCACTGATCTGTTTTGGCAAATCGACAGACAACTACTGTAGTGAATTACAGCTATAAAAAAATAATAATAATAATTTAATTGAAAAGTAGGCCCCTTCTGTATTTCCATTTGCAGTAAAGCCACATTGGAGTACGTGTGCAAAAGTTCCCAGTGTGCACCAGACAAGTACATGAATGAAATGTATAGTAAATCAATCATCAAAAACAGTGTCTATACAAGTGCAAGAACATTGACGGCGGTGACCGGGCTGAGCTCACTCTGTTTATTCACATGTGCCGCTCTGAGCACTGGCACGGGACTCGCTCCTCTCTCTGGGACCAGGGGCTAAACTTGGCACCACCTCCGCGTCCTGCAGTGGCGGCAGTTTAGAGAATCAAAGAAGGGATAAAATTAGGTCCGCTTTAAAAATGTCCGCATCATATGTTTGTGATGAGCTCATGGTGAACAGGTGAGACATTATCACACTGATGTAAGTGTGAGAGATAGACTGACAGACGCGTGTCCACATCACCTCTTCTCTCTGACGGTGACATGCTTCTGTGCAGACAGGAGCTAAAGAGCGGCTGGTGCAGCTGCAGCGGTGCATGCGTTCCCTACAGGAAACACAGGGGCCCTGGAGCGTCGGGCCCCAGGAGGGCTCTCTGGGGGCCATTCTGTCGCTGATGGCCGCAGTGTTGACAGAGTGTGACCTTCACTGTCACAGTCAGGCGCTGGGGGCCATGGCCAGAAGACTGGGTAAGAGCCAACAATTACAGTGCCTTGCGAAAGTATTCGCCCCCCCTTGAACCTTTCAACATTTCGCCACATTTCAGGCTTCAAACATAAAGATATAAAAACTAAATGTTTTGTCAAGAATCAACAACAAGTGGGACACAATCGTTAAGTGGAACGAAATTTATTGGATAATTTAAACTTTTTTAACAAATAAAAAACTGAAAAGTGGGGCGTGCAATATTATTCGGCCCCCTTGCGCTAATACTTTGTAGCGCCACCTTTTGCTGCAATTACAGCTGCAAGTCGCTTGGGGCATCAGTTTTGCACATCGAGAGACTGGAATTCTTGCCCATTCTTCCTTGAAAAACAGCTCGAGCTCAGTGAGGTTGGATGGAGAGCGTTTTAAAATCGCTGCATTGGCTCCCCGTGTGTTTCAGGATCGATTTTAAGGTTCTTTTAATGGTTTTTAAATGTCTTAATGGTCTTGGGCCTTCTTATCTTTCAGATTTGCTTTTATCCTATGAGCCTTCCCGGCCCCTGCGCTCCTCCGGCAGCAGACTCTTAACCATCCCCAAAGTCAGGACACACACTCACGGCGAGGCATCTTTCCAGCACTACGGCCCCCGTCTCTGGAACAGTCTGCCGGAGGAGCTCAGGGCCGCAGAGAACGTTCATATTTTTAAAAGAAGGCTCAAGACACACCTTTTTAGATTAGCTTTTGATTAGTTTTTACTATTTCATTTTATATATTCTATTTATTTTCTATTATTTATTGTATTGCTATTGCTTTTATTCATGTATTGTGTGTTAGTTCATTTTAGTTGCACATTTTTGTGTTTTATTTATTGTATTGTTATTGTATTGTTTTTAGTGTACCCAGTGTTTCCTCTGGAGGAGCCCTCTGCACTGGGAGCGGTGGTCGGCATGGCTGTGGGGGTCGGACTCTTGGACCTGGTGGGGGCCTGGGGCCTCGGTTTCGGGTCTCCTCTAGATCCTGTGTCGTCCCCTGTGGCTACAGGCGGCTCTCTGCTCCTGGTGCAGACGGCTCCTAGGATGACGCTTTTTCAGCTGGTTGCATCTGAACCCTGCCCAGTCTCTCATCATTGTTTTACTGTTTTACTTGTGTGTGTGTGTGTGTGTGTGTGTGTGTGTGTGTGTGTGTGTGTGTCAGAGAGTGTGCATGGGAGCGTGTGTGTGTTTGTCTGTGGTTTGGGATGGGTCTGTTGGGTGGTCGGGGGGAGGGGACATGGGCCGGCGGGATTGTTTTTAACCAAACTGTAAAGCACTTTGTGTTGCATCTTTTGTATGAAAAGCGCTTTATAAATAAAATTTGATTTGATTTGATTTGATTTGTGAACAGCAGTCTTCAGCTCTTTCCACAGATTCTCGATTGGATTCAGGTCTGGACTTTGACTTTTGCCATTCTAACACCTGGATACGTCTATTTGTGAACCATTCCATTGTAGATTTGGCTTTATGTTTTGGATCATTGTCCTGTTGGAAGATAAATCTCTGTCCCAGTCTCAGGTCTTTTGCAGACTCCAACAGGTTTTCTTCCAGAATGGTCCTGTATTTGGCTCCATCCATCTTCCCATCAATTTTAGCCATCTTCCCTGTCCCTGCTGAAGAAAAGCAGGCCCAAACCATGATGCTGCCACCACCATGTTTGACAGTGGGGATGGTGTGTTCAGGGTGATGAGCTGTGTTGCTTTTACGCCAAACATATCGTTTTGCATTGTGGCCAAAAAGTTTGATTTTGGTTTCATCTGACCAGAACACCTTCTTCCACATGTTTGGTGTGTCTCCCAGGTGGCTTGTGGCAAACTTTAAACGAGACTTTTTATGGATATCTTTGAGAAATGGCTTTCTTCTTGCCACTCTTCCATAAAGGCCAGATTTGTGCAGTGCACGACTGATTGTTGTCCTATGGACAGACTCTCCCACCTCAGCTGTAGTTATCTGCAGTTCATCCAGAGTGATCATGGGCCTCTTGGCTGCATCTCTGATCAGTCTTCTCCTTTTTTGAGATGAAAGTTTGGAGGGACGGCCGGGTCTTGGTAGATTTGCAGTGGTCTGATACTCCTTCCATTTCAATAAAATTGCTTGCACAGTGCTCCTTGAGATGTTTAAAGCTTGGGAAATCTTTTTGTATCCAAATCCGGCTTTAAACTTCTTCACAACAGTATCTCGGACCTGCCTGGTGTGTTCCTTTGTCTTCATGGTTCTCTCTGCGCTTTAAACAGAACCCTGAGACTATCAAAGAGCAGGTGCATTTATACGGAGACTTGATTACACACAGGTGCATTCTATTTATCATCATCAGTCATTTAGGACAACATTGGATCATTCAAAGATCCTCACTGAACTTCTGGACTGAGTTTGCTGCACTGAAAGTAAAGGGGCCGAATAATATTGCACGCCCCGCTTTTCAGTTTTTTATTTGTTAAAAAAGTTTCATTTCATTTTCAACCCCTTTATTAGTCCATTTCTGGGTCGGGGGGGTGGCAATGAGAGCTGCCACCCGATGCTCATAGCACCAGTCCCTCACTGATCCTCTGCAGCGGGTGAGTCCACAGGAAGATGGCTGCTCCATCAGTTGTGAAGACAGCCTTGATCTTTCAGCGGGGGCTTCAGGCAACGTGGGGTTAAGTGTCTTGCCCAAGGACACAACGACAGCAGTCATCAGTGGGAGCAGTTGGAGTAGGTCCCATGGTGGGATTCGAACTCACGACCTCCAGGCCCAAAGGCCAATGCTCTACCAACTGAGCTACTGTCACCCCCGCTGTTGAAAAAAGTTTCAATTATCCAATAAATTTCGTTCCACTTCACGATTGTGTCCCACTTGTTGTTGATTCATGACAAAAAATTTAATTTTTATATCTTTATGTTTGAAGCCTGAAATGTGGCGAAATGTTGAAAGGTTCAAGGAGGCACTGTAAATACACTAAGATGTATGGAATAATAACTTCTGGTTTCAGAGGGAAAGAGATGATAAAACATGGGATTGACTTGTTCCACTCCACTTAAATAATACATTCTCTGTGTAACCAGTACTCGGTCCTTCTTCAGTCGTCTTGGCCCTGGTTCTATCAAGGCCGAGCTGGTACTAAAGTAGTATAGTGCTACTGGAAGCCATGGTTACCATGGAATTTCCCCGGATACTGGTTTGTTGTGGGTAGGTTGTTTGGATACGGTACAAAATACTAAAGCATATAATGGAAACACAACTGGGTAGAGCAGAATAGAGTAAATGCTAAAATGCATTCAACACCTATATGCCTCTGTGTGTGATGTCACTTGTTGTGGTTTTGTTTCTGACAGAGAGCGCAGCCGTCGGCCGAGAAGGAGAAAAGGACCTTTTACTTTTTCTGCAGAGCATCACACAGCAAAACCCCACAGGTGACAACACAAGCCCCGTTTTCACCAGCCCTAGACTCTACTCTATACTCTACTTTACTCTACTCTGCTGTACTCTACTCTACTCTACCCTGCCCTTCTCTACTCTACTCTACTCTATAGTCTACTCTACTCTACTCTACTCCACTCTACTTCGTAGAAATTCCTTAGTAACATGATTTCCAGCAGCACTCTGGTCAATCACTGTTGAACACTTTAGTACCAGCTCGGCCTGGATAGAACCAAGGCCAAGAGAAGGACCTGGTTCTGGTAAAACAGGGCCGGTGGAAACACTCCCCTTCAGGGTAGAGTAGAGTGGAGTAGGGTAAACAGTTTTTAGTAACAACTGACTCTTCTTGGTCCCAGTCCCTCCGTTAGAGCGGCTTCATCCAAAAGACTGCTCGGAGATTTTCAGACTTGGGATAAAAGAGAACGGGATCTACACCATCCAGCCAGACCGGACCGGCCCCGCATTCGAGGTACATCACACTTATAACACACTTTTTTCTCTGATACTTTTGCACATTGGTATACACGTGCAAAAGTATCAAGATCATTCAAGTGCTTTGTTCAAACTGATGACAAGTTTGGTAAAGAAGATGTTAGCATATCCAGATGTTCTTCTGCCAGAGGGAAGAAGCTGGAACATTGTTTTTACCAGGGGCCAGAAGAGTGAATGATTATTTGAAGGGTTAAGAGTCTGGATTCTTAAAAAACCTTCAGAACAGGCAGCTCACAGTCCTCTTTCAGAGCACAGCATCTTGTATAGGGCTCTTCTTTCTTTGGCTGTGATGTTGCCGAACTACACAGTCACAGAACCAACCAGCAAACTCTCAATGGTGCTCCAGTAAAAGTGAAGGAGAATCTTAAGAGTTTGTGGTAAATAATCAGCAGAAAGAAGAGATGCTGACGAGCTTTCTTAACAACCTGGAGCGTGTTATTGTTCCATTTCAGGTCATTAGACAGAGCTTGCTCTCCTCTACAATCTGCACTAACAAGAGAGTTATTACAACATGTGAGATTAGAACACTGTGAAGCCAATAAATTCCCTTTGTTTTCATCTCAGGCTAAATGTGACATGGAAGCAGCGGGCGGCGGGTGGACGGTGGTTCAAGCGCGGCACGACGGCTCGCTGGACTTCAACAGGACATGGCACGAGTACCGTGAGGGCTTCGGAGGCCCGTCAGGGGAGATGTGGCTGGGGAATGCGGCCCTCTCCGCCCTCACAGCCACAGGACAACACCAGCTGCGTATCGAGCTGGAAGACTGGCACCATCAGAAGAGACACGCAACATACAGCAACTTCAGAGTGGCCTCAGAGGCGCAGAGGTGGGGTTGAGTTTAACCCCTCAAATTGTAGCATTGATGGTAATGGGCTAAAATGGCTGCCATAGAATTTTATACATCATACCATTAAGATAATTATCCCATGAAAATAATAATAATGCATCGGTTTTATATAGCACTTTTTTGGACACTCAAAGACACTTTTCATGTTCCTTTTTCCACCACCAACCATTCACACACACAGACTCATTCTAGGCAATGGGGGTGAAGTGTCTTGCCAACAGGACACAACAGCAGTTTGGCACTTTACAGCTGCTCCACTCTGGCTGGTGTTCCAAGAGGTTAAGTGTCTTGCCAAGGACACAACAACACACACACATCAGTGGGAGTTGTTGTAGTAAGTTTTGTGGTGGGCTCGAACCCATGACCTTCAGGCTCAAAGGCCAGTGCTCTACTAACTGAGACACTGTCGACAAAAACAAACATTTGATTTAATGCAGGGGTCTAAAACTCAATCAAACCATTATAATTGCACGCACTATTTTACTTTAGCTCCTAGATAAATATTATACTGCTATATTTCAAACTGACTTTTTATAATCATGGAGGTATTTTGACCAAAAATTACTTTTATCAAATATGAGTTTGTTATAATTTGCATGTATGTCTTTTATACATGTCTAATTCAAGCAAAAATACATGAGGCTATGTATTGTAGACAGGGTTTAATAATATATACTTCAGGGTTCGATGTTTACGGTTAAATAATGCTGTGATTGTTTTTATTTCTATTTTTTCATTAGCTTTAAAACGATGTATACCATGCCATTATAAGCCCAGACTCTCACTGGGGGCTGCAATGACCTAGCCTGGTTGTACCACACCTTAGTACAAATTTCATTTCATACTAAGGTCTGGATTTGCTCCATTGAGCTCCGTGAACAGGTGGGAGGGGTTAACTCCTTTTGCAGATTGAAACGATTGGATCCGAGTTCACCGTAACAAATGTAATGCGCCCGAGTGTGTTGTTAGAGACAAACATTGTTTGTCTTAGAGAATAGACTTTAAAACAGCTCTGCTTGTGTACAAATCTCTCCATGGCCTCGCACCAAAATATATTAGTGACATGTCAGTCCCATATGAACCAGCCCGGACTCTGAGGAGCACAGGGACTGGACTCCTGTTAGTGTCCAGAGTCAGAACTAAACATGGGGAGGCTGCTTTTCAGATTCACACTGCTAAAATCTGGAACAGTCTTCCTGAAGATGTGAGACAGGCCTCCTCTCTGACAATGTTTAAGACAAGGTTGAAAACAGTTCTGTTTAGCTGTGCATACAACTGAGGGATTTTATATTTTTATCTTTTTTTAATGTACTGTGATTATTTATTTATTTATTTTAATGCTTTCTTGTTCTCTTCAGCACTTTGAATTGCCTTGTGTATGAATTGTGCTATATAAATAAACTTGCCTTGCCTTGCCTTGCCTTGTTAGCATTTAGCATTTAGCCTAGCCATCTCCTTTGCAGCTAACGGAGCCCGTGGGGAGTAGCGCCACAATCTTGACCAGCGATTCCATTTGCTAAACATTCCTCTTGCTCATGCTTCAATTTCTTGAACCAGACCGGATTACTTTACTATACTTTACTTTACTGATCAACCACTTATAGCACTTATTAAAGGAAGTAAACATTTTTTGACAATTTCTCAAAATTCTTTTCAGTTGGAATGAGAGTTCTAGAAATTTCATTATTGTGGGATTGTTTGTGTCAATGTACTGTGATACTTTTAGCGCCTATGATTGTTTCTATCTGGTTTTGTCTTGTATGAACTACGCTATACAACTAAACTTAGCTACCTACATACTAAATATTCTCAAGATTACTTTTAAGCGACACCCTTTTAAAGTACTGGTACTTCCACAGGTTCCGTCTGATGGCGAAGGAGTACTCTGGTGACGCCGGTAACGCTCTGAGCTACAGCAAACGCTACAACCACGACGGCAGGCCCTTCAGCACCAACGACCGCGACAACGACCGCTACGCTAACGGAAACTGTGGCCTCTACTACGGCGCGGGTTGGTGGTTCGACGCCTGTCTGGCCGCCAACCTGAACGGACACTACCACAGGGGGCGCTACAGTGGAGTGACCAACGGCATCTACTGGGGCACGTGGTACATCCTGACAGACGGGCGAACCGGAGAGCGGTACTCCTTTAAGAGAGTGGAGATGAAGACCAGACCCAGGGACTTCCCCGGAATGTCCTGAGATTTGTGCCGTATGAAAATTATTTGTGGGTTGTAAATAAATGGCAGCTACGTCAAAAAGTACTAATCTACTCGAGTACAACACACTGGACAGAAACACAAATGCAGAACTTTGGTTTTTTTGTGCCTGAGGAGCACAGGAACTGGCCTCCTGTGGGTGCCCAGAGTCAGGACTAAACACGGGGAGGCAGCGTTTCAGATTTATGCAGCTATAATCTGGAAAAGTCTTCCTAAAAATGTGAGACGGGCTCCTACTGTGACTCCGTTCAAATCCAAGAGTTCTGTTTAGCTGTACAACTGAAGGATTGTATCTTCACTCTTTTTAATGCACTGTGATTATTTATGTGTGATTTTAACGTTTCTTTTCTTGTTTTGTATAGCAAGTTGGTGTATGAACTGTGCTATAAAGATAAACTTGTCCTGTCCTGTTTATTAAAGGATTATTATTTACTGCCTCGGATTTGTTTTAATTCACAAAGGTTTGGATTGTATTTGTAGTGACAGCAGCAGTCTGAGCAGAGACACCCACACTTCCCAAAGCGTTCCCAGGCCAGCTGAGAGATGGGTCCCTTCAGCGTATCCTGGGTCTTCCCCTGGGTCTTCGTCTGGGTTTCCATGCTGCTTGGAACACATCTCCAGGAAAATGTCAGGGATGTATAAAATCAGTGAGAACCAAAAACAACACCACCCTTCTGTTGATCAATACTATACGATTTGTAGTAGTTTTCAAAATGGAAATATCTCAGGTCTCAGGACTCTCTCTATCTGTCTTGTCTGTCTCTAGTCTCAAGACTCTCTCTGGTCTGTCTTTGGTCTCTCTGGATCCCCCCCTCCCCGTTATCCCCCTACCTCTCCCTCCCTCCCTCTCACTCCTTACTGTCTTTCCGGCTTACCCCCTCCCTGTGCCCGCCCCCTCCGACTGCCACATGGTCGGAGGTGCTTATCCCATGAAAAAAACGCTGTGTTTTACACAAAGCACACTGTGTCTATCCAACTGTCTGAAACGGTGTGTTATTGCTCTCTGCTGTTTCTACTGTTTGGCGCATGGCGCCGTAAAGATGGCGCCGTGGCAAGAGCTCTGGTGTGTGCCGTCTTCTCTGTCTGGTGCACACTAGGGTAGTCTTGCACAGTTTTTCCAATGTGGTTTTACTGCAAATGGCAATAAATGAATCTGGATCTGGTCTCTAGTCTCTCTGTTCTCTATTCTCAAGACTCTCTCTGGTCTCCCTCTAGGGAATTAATAGCTCAGAGTTTTGTATTAATATTTAATTGTAAATTTAATTAAATGTTCTATTTTTAACTCTTGAATGCTTGGTCTTATTTCTGTATCAAATTTGAACACGTCCGTCTTATTTTCTTGACAATAGTATCAGAGCTTTAAATTCAGTTTTGATTGTGTTTCGGGAGGAGATACGAAAGTTATTTCACATTTAAGATCATGAAATGACAAAGTATATGAACGACTGTTATAAGGGTCAAAAGTAATGCATCATATTTAGATTTTTTTCTTTCTTTTTTACAGATCTTTCTTAAATGGAAATGGACATTTAATGTATTCTGCCGCTCTGAAAATTAATAAATAACTGTATAATTTTTCATACTTGAATTACTCGAGTTACTCTGTCACTGCAGCATCCAAGATGGCTGCTGCAGTGACAAGCAGGAATGTTCAGCCCTGACAGTCCATTAAATATCAACCAGGAAATGTGCCATCCGGTCTTAACTTTAAGCTTTCTGAGTTAATGTACATATTCTAGGGAAATATTTTGGCACCAAGTATATCTGGAAGATTTTTTTGTATGACACTTTTGGGACAGCCACCTGAGTCTGGATACAAAGAAGCTGGCAGAAGATATGGAGGAGGTGAAAAAATCATTTAACTTCATGACACAAGAATTTAATTCTGTAGTAAAACAAAAAGACTTACTGAAGTTAATTGATGAAGTGCGGCAACTAAAGGACAGAGTCAAAGAAAAGGACAAGAAGATTGAAGAGCTACAAAGAAGAGTGGATGACTTAGAACAATACACAAGGATGGATGACCTGGTGATATCTGGATTGGTGACAAAACATCGCACCTATGCCAGAGCCACCGCAAGTGACAGAGATGGTGAAGATGCACCGACAGGTGAATTGCACACCCTTGAACATCGAGTCATTCACTTCTTTAACAGCAAAGACATCCCCCTAGAAAGTAAGAATATTTCTGTATGCCACACAATCCCTCAGAAACAAGGGACCATTTCAAAAATTATCTTGAGATTTGCAAATCGCAAACATAAAGATGAAGTCCTAAAGTTAACAAAAAGGCTAAGTGCCAACAGGTGTGTACGTGAATGGACATCTCACAAGAAAAAATGCTGAGATTGCTTACCAGGCACGACTGCTAAAGAAACAAAAGAAGATTCAAGACACATGGACGAGAAATTGTAAAGTTATGATCAAGCTTACTGGATCGCAGGAGCAAGCCAAGATAATAACACTACGCGAATGTGAAGACTTGGACCAGTTCAGATAAGTTCACAAATGGCTTGGATACTGACAAAGTATAAAACAAGATGGAGGAATCAACAAACTTCAAGGCTTTTGAATACCAGGAATACAAGCCCTATGATTTAGAAACAGACATTGGGCCTCATTCACGAACGGTTCTTAGGAACAGATGTGTACGTAAATCCTACTTACGCGGTTTTTACGAAGAAAGTGGCATTCACGAATATTTCTCGTAACCAGAATTTCTCTTGGGCAAGTACAAATCCTACGAGTCCTCAGGAGCACTCGTACGCATTCAGTGCCGACATGTTCACACGCCGGGGTTGTCCTCTTTGGTGAAGTTGAATAAAAATACAACATTCCAGTGATATGTCCGTCATATCGATGTATGTATTTATTTATTTGTAGTAATCTTTATTAGTAATCTTTATTTATATACCGCCTTTTTCACTGCAGATCTGGCCTACTTTTTAATTCATTTTGAAATGAAATGTGCCAACGCTTTATCAAATACATTGGAAATCTTGCCGTGTATTAGTGACCCCTTCCTATTTATAGGGGGCATTTCTTTATCCACGGGCCACAGAACAACGGCATATATACTGCTGCTGCAGGAGGCTGCGGGGTCCGCGCTGAGTCTCTGCGCTGGTCTCTCCTATGGATCTATACGGGTCTGCGCTGGTCTCTCCCATGGATCTATACGGGTCTGCACTGGTCTCTCCCATGGATCTATACGGGTCTGCACTGGTCTCTCCTATGGATCTATACGGGTCTGCACTGGTCTCTCCCATGGATCTATACGGGTCTGCACTGGTCTCTCCTATGGATCTATACGGGTCTGCACTGGTCTCTCCTATGGATCTATACTGGTCTGCACTGGTCTCTCCCATGGATCTAGACGGGTCTGCACTGGTCTCTCCCATATACGGGTCTGCACTGGTCTCTCTCCATACGGGTCCGTGCTGCATGCTCCTGGATCCATACGGGTCCGCGCTGGTCTCTCAAGTCTGGTCTATGCGGTCTCTCTTCGGTCCGCGCTGGTCTCTGCGCACCGGTCTCTCCAGTCTATGCGGTCTCTCCTATAGGTCCGCGCTGGTTTCTGTGTGCTGGTCACTCCAGTCTCTCCTCGGGTCTGCATTGGTCTCAGCGCTGGTCCACGCTGGATCTCCTCCCAGGGTCCAAAATATTTTGAGATTAATCTCAAAACATTTTGAGATTCATCTTTAAAATAATACATAATATATTTTTAAATTAAGCTCATAACATTTTGAGATTAATCTCATCATATTCTTAGATTAATCTCATAATTTTGCTAGTTCGACTTTATTATCATAATATTTCGCCTTTTAAGTCAACATTTTATAACTTTATTCTCAGTCTGGTAAAGGAAGAAAAAAGGGTGACTATTTTGCTCCGTGTAACTCTTTGCTTTAGGCCTGTTGCTGTTTCCTCTGCCGTCTGCACACGGCCCTGCAGTCCCTTATATGGGCATTAGTGGGCGGTTACTTATGCTAAGTACCTATGCTAATGAAGCACCTGGCACGCGCCTTGTACTTACGAGGAAATGGGATTCATCAATCTGAGAGAACAGCTGCGAACAATTCAGCGCCTTACGAGTGCGTTGATGAATCCCACGTGGGGACTTCTTAGAAATCTACTTAAGGACAACTTGAGAAGAAAGTTGAGTAGTTTCTTACAAAGTTATTCGTGAATGAGGCCCATTGATCCTAATGATTATTTGTCTGAGAAATTAAACCTGGACTGTAACTATTATTGTGAAAACGAAATTAAAGCATCGACAGATGAATTTTCTTTGATCCACTTCAATAGTAGGAGTCTCTATAAAAAAATTAAAAAAATAAAAGACTATTTAAGTGGATTTAAGTTCAATTTTAGTGTTGTAGCATTGTCCGAAACTTGGTTGCACAATAAGTTGGATTTTGAACTGGAAGGTTATGATTTATTTAAACAAAATCGGACAAAGAAAAAGGGGGGGAGTTGCCCTCTTTGTAAAAAACGGTAAAAAATGCAACATTATTAAGGATATGACATTTGCTCTAGATGAGCTACTCGAGTGTGTTTCTGTTCAGATACAAAATTAATTGGTTAAGAAAAGTATTATAATTAGCTGTATCTATAGGACTCCTGGATCATGTATTGATGAATTTGATAACAAATTATCTGAGTTATACTGTAAGCAAATTAACAAAAGTCTATTAGTATGTGGTGATCTTAATATTGATTTATTGAAATCCAGTGAACACACAAAAACAGTGGATTTTGTAAACAATATGTTTGGTTTGGGTATGTACCATTTAATATCAAAACCAAGCAGAATTACAAAGGACAGCGCTACATTGATTGATAATATCCTTCTCAGATTCAGATTCAGATTCATTTATTTGCCATTTGCAGTAAAACCACATTGGAAAAACTGTGCAAGACTACTCCGGTGTGCACCAGACAGAGAAGACGACACACACCAGAGCTCTTGCCACGGCGCCATCT